GCCTCACTTCTGAAGTTTGGGCTTTCTTGGATTTTTGGTGACCACCTCTTATTTTCAAAGAGGCTTCCCCGCCATGCCTGAAACTTGAATTATTCTCATCGTTGCGGCCCGCCCTGGCAATATTCATCCTACAACTTGGTAATAGTTTTTCCTCAGAAGTTTGTCTGGCTTCCTGAGGTTTTACCATACGCAAAGATTAAGTCTAGGACTCAGAATGACCCCTATTACAATAAATCTACAATTTATTGAAATCTTTATTTAGTTTCCTCCTCTCTGGAACTTTGCTTCATACCTTCTAACAGGCCCAGCTTCCCCAAACTCTGACACCTCTCTGCCCAAGTAGGAAGATTACCAGCTTGTTTGGGCTTCATATTCCTGCATCAAGCTTATAAACTTCCTCCACAAAGAAAACCTGGCTTTATGGTAAGGCTCACTCACCTCTCTTATTGATCTTTTCCCAGGAATTACAGCCGTATTGGACTTTTCCCAAGATTGCAAAAGTCGCTTCCTATATTTTGTTCATTTTTCCAGTTGTTTACACCAGAAGGGTGATTCTGGGCCCTTATACTCCCTCATGCTCAGATGCAGAAGTCCATATAGCTTTGGTTGCTGTTTAAATGGACCAAGTTACAAAATAGAAAGGACTTGAGTGAACAATTCACCAAAAAAGAAACATGCATGGCCAATAAACATATAAAAAGATATTCAAACTTGAAAATCACATTTTATAATATCTTATTACATGAGAAAACTTAATTGTCAGGATATCCACCAAGAGGGGGGACACAGACACATTACTGATGAGATTGTAAACTGATGGTAGTTTGGGAAGCCAATTTTGACGGTATCACTAAAAACTTTAAGATATACTTAACGTACTCAGCAATGCCACTCCTAGATACTCAGAAATAAAAGCGTGTGTTCACCAGCATACTTGTACAGGAAAGTTCACAGCAGTTTTATTGATAAAATCCCCCAAGTCAAGAATGTCTCAAAGCCCAGCTACCCATTAAAAGAAGACTGATAAGCAAACTGTTACATTAATAAAATTAACTACTACTTACCAAAAGAAAAAAAAAAAGAAAAAGAAACTGATGAATCTCAGACATTTTCTGCGTAAAATGAGTCTTAGAATATGCATATGCATTGCATGTATAAAGAATTCTAGGACAGGCTATTCTAATCTATAGTGTAAGAAATCAGAATACTCACTGCATCTATCAATGTTGTAGGTTGTATTGTGTCCACCCTCACAAAAGATACTTTGAAGTCCTAACTGCCAGTACCTCGGAATGTAACTTTATTTGGATACAGGGTCACGGCAGATAGGACTAGTTAAGATGAGGTGCCGCTGGAGTAGCACAATCCAACACAGCTGGTGCCCTCACAGAACGGCGGCCATGCTCGGATGGGAGATCGGAGTGTTTATGTTAAAAGCCAAGGAAGGTCCAAGGCTACCTGAAGCTAAGAAAGACACATGGAATAATAGATCCTTCCCTAGCAGCCTCAGGGGGTGCATGGCCCTGACAACACTCTGATTCTGGACTGATTTGGATTCTGGACTCTAGAACCGTCAGACAATAGATTTCTGTCATTTTAAGGTACCCAGTTTGTGGTACTTTGTTAGGGTAGCCCCTAACAAAGTTAGGAAACTAACAAAGAAAGGGAAGGTAAGGGTGGTAATGGACTTGGAAGGGAGAGACACGCTCTCTAGTGATGAAAATGTTCTATATCAAATCCTTATGTAGGGTTTTTTCCTCCTCTTTTTTTAAAAAAAGATTTTGGAGTCCCTGGGTGGCTCAGTTGATTAAGCCTCTGACTGTTGATTTCTTACAACCCGGAGATCAAGATGTCAAAGGTCAAATTTCTTGTGATAAGAAATTTTAAGATTTAGTTTTTCACCAGCTTTCAAACTTGCAATGCAATATTATTGACTATAGTCAATGTGCTCTACATTACATCCCTCTGACTTACTCATTTTACAATTGGAAGTTTGTACCTCTTTCTTGATCCCCATAGGGGCTTGAGTTTCCTAGAAATACGCATTCACTAAAACTTAATGGTAGTCATAGTATTTATTTCACTGATAAAAATTTTATGTCAAAAAGAGGTAACTGTTGATGATTAGAGATACATGAGCTGAAGTGTTCAGGGATCAAGGGTACAGATGTGGGAAACATCATTTTATGAAACGCATAAAAGATGTATTGATGGATGGAGAGACATTTAAGTAGATGGACAAATCATAAAGCAAAAACAGCAAGACGCTAAGTACAGAACCTAGGGGATGGGTGTAGAGATGTTAACTGTTCAAGTCTTCCAATTTTCTCTATGTTAGGATATTTTTATAACAGTGTTGGGGGAAATTTTATAGATAGTTGACCCATGTGTACAAGTATAATTTAAAGGGATTATATAGGGGCTCCGGGGTGGCTCAGTCAGTTGAGCGTCCAACTTCGGCTCAGGTCATGATCTCATGGTTTGTGGGTTCGAGCCCCGCATCAGGCTCTGTGCTGATAGCTAGCTCAGAGCCTGGAGCCTGCTTCAGATCTTGTGTCTCCTTCTCTCTCTGACCCTTCCCTGCTCATGCTGTCTCTGTCTCTCTCTCAAAAATAAATAAAATGTAAAAAAAGGGAATATATAGAAGTCTAACTGGATAATTTTTAATAGCAAAAACTTAAATACTACCTAAATATTCAAAAGAAGAATTTTTATATATAGTAGAAACTATGTGTGATGGTGTCCAAACCAATGTTTAGTTGGCTAATTGAAAAACCATTGAAAGGAGAAATTAAAAAAAAAGACATGCATTTTGTTTTAGCTTAGGACAGATCAATGCATTTTCACCTGTGATTCTTTTTTTTTAAGTAGGGCCAAGGTTTTTTACTTTGGGTTTGAGCCCAATTATAGTCCCTCAGTGTCTGCTGCAAAAAAAGACCCAAAGTGGGGTGCCTGGGTGGCTTAGTCGGTTAAGCGTCCGACTTCGCTTAGGTCATGATCTCGAGGTTCGTGGGTTCGAGCCCCGCGTCGGGCTCTGTGCTTGACTGCCAGCTCAGAGCCTGGGGCCTGTTTCAGTCTGTGACTCCCTCTCTCTCTGACCCTCCCCCTGCTCACGCTGTCTCTCTCTCTCTTTCTCCTAGAAATAAATAAAACATAAAAAAAAAAAAGACCCCAAGTGTGTCATCCATTTTTTTGTCCCCCATGTATCATCTTCTTTTGTTAGTCTCTCATAACTGTCTTGGAAATACCTATTTTAAATTTTAAAGAATTTAACGAAGTTTTAATGATGCCTTTATAAGCCTTTTGCAAAAGCCCAACCTTCCTGCTTTTCACATGCACATTTCACTGGCTTATGTAGTGCATAATTAATTAAATGATATACTAAAGATAAATACATTTGCATATATAGGTTAGCAAATAAATACAGCTGATTTTAGTAAGCTTACAACTTAATTGGAACCAAAAGAGCTCCGGCATGACTGCAAGCAGTCGGTGGTGGCAAGGGGAGCAAACGGGGTGAAAACAGAGGGCCGGTCTACTGAGTGGGTTATTTAGAAGGTGGGTAAGAAAGCTTCTGCACAGATGGAATATTAGAGTCAAGCTTTTGCAGGTATACCCCGAAGTCATTAAGGAGAAGACTGATACAGTTGTTGATAAAAGTATTAAAAACATTATCATGCCCCCCAACTCTCTAGAAGAATAAAGCCAAAGAACACCGTAAGAAAAAAGTTTGCAATATATAAACACATGACTGTCAAACGACTAATTCCTTTAATTTTCAACATCTCATATGAATAAAACATTAAACAACCTGATATAAAAATAAGCAAAGGATATTAATATGGAATTTTGAGAACAAGAAATACAATAGATCAATAAAGATGAAAATCTACTTAACTTCCTCATAGAAGAAATAAGATCATTTCATTTATAAGATGAGCAAGTAAGTTTGATATCAGTTCTAATAAAAATGTGCGGCAACAGACATTCTTATATGCTTTGATGGAACCATAAACTGATATAAACTTCTCCAAGAACAATTAGTAAAATTTAAAAGTGCAGGTGCCCTATGATCTAGCAACTTTACTGGTAGAAATGTACCCTATGTACATGTTTGTAATGATTAATGAAAATATTTGCATAAGGATGTTCAATAGAGCATTGCTTGTACAGCATAAACTGAAACAAGCTAAGTGTGCATCAGGAAATTAAATTACGGTATTTCCACACGATGTAGTACAAGGCAGTGATTGAGAAGAATGAGGTAGACCTGAATATGCTGATATGGAAATATTTCCAGGATGATAAAGCGCTACAGAATATATTGTACAATCCCTCTGACATAAACAAAATGTGTACGTGCTTACAAATGCACACGCACACATTTTCCGCCAGAAGAAATACAAGAAATTTAATAGAAGTTGTCGTTGGTCTGAGGGAGACTACTCTTAGGGGTAGGGCAGAGGCTTTTACAACTCCTTGTGGATCTTCCTTCTACTGTTTGAATTTCTGTTATTATATACATAAGAATAATCATGGTATAATCATAAATCTTTATCTTTGCCTTATTTTTTAAGATGTGAAATTACTTAAATATTAATTTGTTAAGAAATTGTTTTCCTTCAGACGAAAGGTGGCATCCTTAACCTGCACTTGGGGAAGATACGAGGTGCACCGAATGTAGGCACAGAAAGGACCCTTGTTTTGATGGACAAGGTCTTATCTTAGAGATTCCAGAAGAGGGGCGGGTGCCGGGAGGAGAGAGGAGTCAAGCAGTGGCTGAAGTGAAGGAAGAGCATTTCCTTATTCTCAATCCTCTAAATCCCTTTTAGTTCCTTACTTAATCCCCCCACTCCCAAACACAGCCACTAGTGAACCAGGAATTCTAGAAATAAAGTTTGCACTTAGCCTTCTCCCAGTCCCTTCGGATTACCCATTAACAAGTACAACCACTATCAGAAAAGCCCAACAACAAGAAATAATCTTCAAAACTCCTATACTTTACATTACTAAAGCACATCTTTATTTTGCAATTGAACAATTAAAAGTCACAGCTAGAGTTTTTTTCACGTTTGTACCTGAACAACTATTTCTCAATCAAAATGAAATATGGCCAACAAAATATGTGTAATAATAGCATTTCACCTAACAGAAGTTGCTTTTAGGACTAAAACAGTTTTAATGTCAATCAGCTTTTTAATGTTGTCTGCTGTTAGTATTCATAGATTTTTTTACATGAATTGCAGGAATTCTAATTTTTCACTGAAATTAAAACAAATACACAGGCTTTTCAAGCATACATAAGCTGCAGTGACAAATGCAGAGTGCTGATTTCAAATTATCCCATGTTGACCAAATTCAAGCTTATACATTTTAATCGGACCCTAAGCCTCTTTGCCTCTTAATTGTGGAAACAAACCATATGGAAAGAGCTGTTTTCGTGAAATGGGGAAAAAGAGTTAATTTTAAAAATTAAGGGGCTAATTCCATTTTGCTACTAGTTCAGTACAATTAAACGTGAAATGACAGCAGAAATGCAAAATTATATTTTAATAACGAAATAAACTAGATTTTAACTAAGTGACTTTTCGCCCTTCATATTTACATATAGCACCTGTTACAAGAAAAAAAATCCCAAATTAATACACCCTCTACATAGAAATAATTTTTTGTAAAACTAATACTTAAAAATATCACTGATGAGTATATAGTAAATTGTCTGTCCTAAAATTAAGCCTACACTGTAGAAAAGAAAGACTAGCTTTTCTTATTTGAAAAGATAACAATATGGATTGTAACTGCAATGTCCTGATGCTTTAAGAACACTGGGTTAGACAGTTTTTTTTTTTTTGTTTTCTTCAAGCTCATATATTCTAATGAGAGAAAAGGAAAACAGCTTAATGTAAACTGTTTTTAGTGTCTTAAATCCTGTCCTTTGACATGTATCTAAAGTATCAGGACTTTGCCCTCTTCAACTTACTTGTGGTGCAGTACTGACTTAATCCCTACCTACAACTTAAAATCAAACAAGTGGATTTCCAAGTATTCCTGTAATGTATAAAAACACAAAGCAGAAATGATTACTGCAAACAAAACCTGGTTGAAGCTAGCTGAGAGCACGGAGTCCAGCAGGAGAGTAGGCTGGCCAGGCTTCACCGTGCTCACTAAATTACAGAAAAGTTGCAAAGCTAAAATCACACAAGTTACCTTTTGTATATCAAATGATCAAGAGATCACTGTAAAGCACTGAACTTGGGTCCAATCCAATGAGCTCTACATACCGTCCATCAAAGTTTTTCCGTATTTACAAAACTCCTAGGGTAGATTTTTATTTTTAAATGCATAAATTAAGTCAGTAGTAAGCATGAAATAAAGTGCTACTATTTAAAATTCAAGAAATCAATTTCAGCAATGAAATTTGACCTACTCTTACAGGATACAAGAAAGACTGAAGAATCCTGTGAACTCACCAAAGGGTTGGAAAAGGTGGGTGCCAGAGAATCCCAGAACTGGATTGAAATTTTCTTGCCAGAGAAGGCAAGAAACTGCAACACAATTCAGGAGTAAAAACTAAAAAGCTTCTTTCAAATAAAAGGTAAGATGGGCTCAATTCTGACTACAGTGGATTTGGGGAAAGCAAACGTCAGCACCTATCTGCATCTAAGATAGTAAACTGGGCGGATCCTCCTTGATGATGTCATGGTGAGAATTTCATTTGGCAAGGTGGCATTTCAGTTAAGGTTGCCACAGGTAATATCTGTTAAATTGTGGAAACTCTCAAGGTTGAGGGGGTCTGATGTTAATCTCTTAACCACTGTAAAAAAAAAAAAAAAAGCTAATGAAGACAGCTATCACCTTATAGTTGTTTAGGGTATTTAGTTCACAAAGACTGTAAGATGACATTACTTTTCAGAAGTTGGAGGGATGGAAGCAGGAGTCAAAGTAATGAAGGACCCACTGAGTCAAATGTAACAAGTGATAAATAATAAATACTACCCTTTAAAGAGACTGTTGAGTGAATTATTTGTGCCTAAAACACGGTAGGGTTTCTGTTGTCCACTGAATTAGTAACTCCTTAATAAGGCATCTAAGATGCCACAGTTACAAATCAGAACTGGGCTCAGTGGTCTTATCTGTCCAAGATACTGATGATGAAAAGGCAAAACTATATGTCAGGGGCCTCTGCACTTATTTACTATAGTGAATCTGAGGCACGGATTTCTGGTGTCACTAAAGTCACACTCGCAATGATGTCCTCATTTGTGGCTGGCATGGTGACAGAGCCTGAGAACTTTCCTTCACGGTAAACACATGCAGCAGAATGTTTACCCTCACACAGAAACACCCTTCCACACTCCAGAAGTCTAGAATTCAATTATTTTACACTTAAAAATAGTAAGCACAAATTTTCTATTCTAGAACTAAAACAAAACAGAGTAAAAAAGAATGACTGTTATATCTGAAATAAGCTTCAGTAATGATTGCTCGTGTATAATGAAAATTACATTTTTCTTCTAAAAGCGCATTTTATGTATCGATAGAATACTCTTCCTTTCCTTTTTGTCAATCCCTTGCTGACTTTCTTAAACAAAGAGTATCCTTAGAATCAAGTCATAATTCTAATAACATTTCAAAGATACATTCGTAGTTTTACAGCATGAAAGACATACAAACATCATTTCTTTTTACACAATGAAAAGAAGTTAACAGTTTCAATCTTTTGTCCATAGAAAAATATTTTCTCTATCATTTACACAACAAGTAGGAAAATTCTACAGTGCTTAACTGAAACTTCTATGAGCACATCAAGGCTTTTAAACACTCTCATTCTTTTATTGGAAATTTTAAAAGGTTTCGGGAAGTTCAACATTAGGACTTCCACCTAAAGTTGTAGTCTTTAACTTGCAATATTGCTAATACCTTTCACCTTGTAAATTAAAAAAAAAAAAAAATTGGTTCTCTTCTTTAGGCACTGAGTCACAGCTAGTCAGTATGGCTGGCCTGCACCCCAGTACATACTACTTCCGGCTGCCCACTGAGCCTGGACTGCTAAAATAAAAATAATGACTATAAAACTTTAGAAATCAACAGTAAGCTGCAGTAGAAAAACACACAAATAAATAGCAGCAAATTTAGAAATGGAAACAGAAGTAACTATTTGGTGTCTACCCAGGGCAACTTCACCAAGATTATGCAAATAAAATGTCTCATTTCTGGCTGATATAGGACTCGTTGGCTTTTGATAACATTGAAAGGCTTATTGTACTAATTGCTACTAAGAATAATTGAAGTCAGTATACAATAAAACAATTGTTGATAATCGTTGCAGGCATTGTAAAGTAAGATGAATGCCAAAAATACAATTTAGGGATTACTTTCATGGGCTCTTTATAAAATCGCTGAACCTCTCTATTAGCAGTTTGCTCTCAAAAATGTTTTATTATTTTAATTCCTTTGTAGCTATACAATCCACTAAGAATTTTATAAACAATTGCTATAATTTATGTTGTGACCACACTGAGACACCAATAAATCTGCCAACAGATCAGTAATTCTGATATCTGATAAAACCCAGTGGGTTTTAACAACATGGCTATTTACTTGGAAGAAACACCAGACACACACACACACACTTGCAGAAACTGGCTGAACAACTAAAGTAAATGTGGGAAGTAAGCAGTGATAATATAACTACTTGGTTGATATGGCATAAAAGCCAAATGTGACATAATTCACCTGTGACTCATAATAATGTTCTATTTTTAAGAGATGTTTATTCCCACAAGTATTTACCACAACATATTTACTCTAAGTGACTTAAGTGTAAATTTAGCTAAACTACAAAAAAAAAAGAGATGTAAACATATCCCACCTTATTGTGGTATAAATAATTTTTATGAATTCAAAACTACTTTGGCAACCTTACTATCAGAATATCTTAAATATTCAAAACACAGGTATTAAATAGAACATTGTTAAAAATTCTTGTTTCTTTCTCCCTTCCTGATAAGATTATAAAATAAGTAATGCTTTAATTCTACTACATGTTCACATTATGAACATAAATTATTTGATAATAGGTGGACATATATTCTAAATCCTAGTTCTATGTGTTAAGTGCTTTAAAAAAATTAGTCTTCTAGTTTACGTTTCAGAATGTTTTCATACTGCATGTGTGATCAGCCTAAACACTTTACAAAAGCTTATGTTCTATCAGGGAAGCAAAACTAACAAACGGAGTCAGGGTCCTAGTTAGGATCACCTTATAAAGCCTACTTATTTTCTAAATTAAGTGACATCTTCTAAGATCATAGTTATTAAGTGAAAACACTGCCTGAGTATAATTCTTGAGCTGAAACAGACTCAAATTCACAAGAATTTATGGTATTCATAGATGTTGCGTACAATAATGGAAAAGGTGAGATCAGATAAAATCATCCAAGTTCCTTTCAGCTCTCGAGTTGAGAGTATTTCTAGTGGAGGCAGGAGGCTTTCGCTCAAATACCTGATTAGACCTGACCAGACCTGCCAACAGATTATAAACGACTCTCTAGTTAAAACAACCCTTTACTTCTGTTTGTTAGCATTAGCCTTTAAGAAACATGCAAATATATATCAACACAAAAAAAGTGTACAAATTAGTACTTGAAACCTTCAAGCAACTGTCTTAATGGCTTATCATACCTTCATAAATTTGAAGTCATTTTTCATATATAAATTTTCTCTTTACTCTTCATCAAAATGAGCAACCCCTTTCCCCCCCTCCTACATGTGCTAGCAGGCCACACAAAGGAAATTATGTCTTCTGCTGTTTGCTCTGCCTGTATTTTGAATGGATGCACTCATTTAACAAATACTATCAGTTCTTCTTGTGAATGTAAAGTCTATTCCAAAATATTCCTCATGCTATGTACACAGTGCTGACACAAATCTGATGCGCAATAAAATATTTGAAATGAACATGGTAAAACCACCTTAAATCAGAGAGGAAAGGTTTTCATAAACATTTCTCATCATTTACAAAGCCCCTTGATTCATCAATATCTATTTCCACTTGTGAGAAGATTAGCAGTCAGCATTGATTTCTGCGGGGAGAGGGAGCAGAGCCGGGAAGGGGGGCGTGGGAGAGCAGGGGAGTTAACTGGAGGAAAGGGAGAGCAGTTCAGAAACAAGAAATCTGACATTTTTATTATACAATGTTACATGGATATGAATGGAATCTAGACCTACTTGGCATATTAAAGCTGGGATTATTCCTAGGACCCTACTTAGATTGATGAACAGGTTAAAAAATTTTTAGGTGTAATGGATAAAGCCTGATTTGTTGGGTGAACACAGAAGCATAATTAGCATACCCATTTTAAGAAGAGCTGCGAAGGATAATTTGTTTTAAGATCCTAATAAATATGCCATTAAAGAAGGATCTTTTCTGTACCTAAAAATACTGACAGAGGGTAGCTTGCAGATGAAAAATCCGTATATGAGAAATTTAAATGTAATTCTAAACTTGCAATTCTAAACTTGCAATATTTACCACTTAAAGACTGGAATTAATGATTTAAAAAGGCAGCAGTGCTCATTGCCAACAAAATCAGAGTTTATCTCAGAAGCGTAAACAAACCTGTGAGTTAAAGAACATGCCAACCACAGCATTTATCTGTTTATACCTATACAACTGTATGTATCTCTTTAATCTATAGTTGTCATATTCTGTCCATATAGTTAGAAGAGATTTTTGTTTTAATTCAGATGAAAAACTGTCAAACGGCTATTAATTATGTAGACCCCCAACATGACTTTACTTGTTCACGTCTCAATTTACCATTATGTCATATAGCAGCCTAAATTATATATATATCTGTTGGTAGAGAATGGAATGTTCAAATAAGACTCTAGTTATTTACTAATTTATACTGTCTTGGCTGTGAAATCCAGGGATAGGAAAGTTTCTCTTTGACATAAAGGTCATGTTTACTTTTCTCTTAAAAAATTAAAATATTTGGATATAATAATTTATTTGGTATCTTGGCTATCAATGTTTAGGACTTAATTTCCTAAAATTTATTATTATGGTTTCTGAATATCTGAAGTGCCATCATTTGGATCACACTGAAAATGAAATATGTATTTCTACCCTCATACTAAACGGCATTCCGCAATATCTACTATTCAAACTCTTAAGTTTTATCAAGACTATACAGAAGATTCAGAAACCATTAGTAAATGAATAACTTAACCATATCCATAGAAAATAACTGTGTAATATAATATTTCAAAAGGTAAGTGAATTTCCACTTATATCAAAACTGGGCAATTTTAAAGTTCTCTTTCTCTGTAGACTTAAAAAAAAAAAAAAAAAAAAGAAAATCCTGAAGAGGAAAGTATACACATCCTTAAAGGGAACCAGATCCTCCGTCTGGAGGCTGGACAAGTGAAACTCTCCATATTATCGTGCTTATAACTGAATAAGTATATATAACCTGGAGTAATGTAACTGTATGCAAAATGACAACAAACCCTCACTACCGTTATTGAGGGATTGCATTTAGAAATAAGTCAAAAACGTTTCATTCCCTGTTCAAAGTATCCCAACCAACAGACTGGTGTGAACAAAGCTTGATATGAACCGAAATGAATGCTTTAAGAGTAATAATTTAGACTGTGATAGAAATAAATCACAACGAATGGATCTAACTTTAGCTGAAAATATCAGTATGTTTAACTTTAATGTGCATTTGGGTGCCATTTCTAAAGTTAGGGGATCAAATAAATAGAAAATCTGAATAGTAAAGCATCTTTTAACTTGAGCTGCTAAGCTGTAACCCTTGTCCCTCAGGAAAGGAATGTGCAGATTTTCAATAATTCCATAGCAGCAGAAGGCTCACTCAGTAGAACACAGTTTATCTTTGCTTCTTGTGGCAAAACACAGGAATTGAGTAAGAAATAGAATTTCCATACAATTCCTTGCGTAACTCTTCATACAAGAAGCTACTTTTTAAAATGCGAACTGACTCAAAATGCATAAAAATGTAAATGTACAGTATACATACATACCTCCTAGTGGGGTCAAAGGAGTGCCTTTTCAGTAGACATACAAAGACGTCTCAAGGCACTTAAGGGGTTAAGACACAATGCATGCATTCCTTTACATCAAGTATGTGAAATCACATGATTTGGAATAAGCCAACCTTATGATAAATATAAGTTACATTATTAAATTCAAGAAAATTTGTAGATTCATATTTATACTTTCTAGAAGATGCTGGTAAATGGACAATGTGCAGCATTTCCTGGGAAAAGCAAATTCCATCTTTCTTCTCACGAACAGCAGGTCTCTATGGGGGAGGACAGGGAAAGATGTGCTGCATCCATAGGCAGTGTACTGGCTAATACTGAGAATGATATTGCTAAAATTTAAAAAATAAAAATCTGGTCATCAGTAGAGTAAGTACATGAATCACTGGGAAACACCAGAGCTGACTCCTGATGTGTACGTCTTTTTGCTTTCAGGATACAGGTGTGTGTATCAGAGATGAGGAGGTTTCTGAGCCTTGTTTGTGGCAATTCTACCAGAAGGGGACTGCATGGCACCACCACAAATTTCATAAATTACCCTGAACATACTCAGTTATTCACTATTTGTTCGGAGCAAAGCATGAAATAGTCTTCAAACACATGAATTACAGATTTTGAGAGAGTGACATTTTTTAAACATAAAGTGCAACAGTGCTGAAGTTTTCAGTTTTTGTTAGTTCTTCACTGCTCCTGCCTAACTGCCACTTCCCGCAAGCGGAATTACGGCACAGTGCGTATAACAGAAAGCAGTGTTCCAACACTTATCCCAGACTTAGGCTTTCTTATTTATTTGATGACGTCGTTAAGGGTTTAACAAATCCTTCTTCATAGACTTTCAAAATAGCTTCACATACAAATCTGTATTGACTCTGAAAGACAGAAAGAACAGAAATGATCAGAACGACCAGAAAACAACAACAAAAAAGAGAACATTCCACTTGGCTTGCTTATAAAAGAAATGCAAAGTAAAACCGCACAGAGATACCATTTTTCACCAACACAATGGCAAAAAATAAAAAAGCCTGACAATGTATTTTGTGGGTAACACTCACTCATACATGGCTAGTGGGGATGTAAAATACTACAATTTGGCAGCAGCTAATAAACTTACATTAATTTACCTTTCACCCAGTAATCCCACTTCTAGGAATCTATCCAAAAGATAAACTAGAAAAAGAAATTGAAAAAATATATTCATAAATAAGTCTATTAACCACTGGATTATTTTTAATAACAAAGAAGAGGAAGAACCCCAATTGCTACCAGGAAGGGGATGGGTGAGTAATGAGTGGCACATCCTCCCAGGGGAATACTATGTGGTAAAGGGCTCAAGGCGAAGGAATCAAAGTCTATTGATAACTATAAAATGATTCCAGAGTATCTTGTTAAGTCAAAAGAGCATAGCAAAGTGCACACAATGTACTCTTTTTTTTTTTTAAGTTTTTAAAAAATGTTTTATTTATTTCTGAGAGAGAGAGACAGAGACAGAGAAGAGACAGAGTGACAGACAGCATGAGTAAGGGAGGGTCAGAGAGAGAGGGAGACACAGAATCTGAAACAAGCTCCAGGCTCTGAGCTGGCTGTCAGCACAGAGCCTGATGTGGGGCTCAAACCCACGAACCGCAAGATCATGACCTGAGCTGAAGTCGGACACTTAACCGACTGAGCCACCCAGGCGCTCCCAATGTACTCTCTTTATAAAAGAAAGAGGGTGAATACAAATGTCTATCTCAACATACATGTCATACAAAAGGGAAGGACAGATCATTAAAAGCATAATTTCCTACGAAGAGATAGATGGAACAGGGTGCAGGAGAGGGGTAGAGATTAGACCTCACTGAATATACCTCCTTCTATAGATTTTAGTTTGGAGCCACATAAATATACCATAATTAGAACACTGATTTAACAAAATCTCTGTAAGTTGAAAATAATATGAATCAATGTGTGTACATAGTGGAGGGCATAACCACATACATATAGAGAGTGGCTATTTCAAGGGACTCTGAAACAGTAATTTGAGTATCTCATAGAAAATATCCAAAAAGTAGAAAAAAAAAGAAAAATCTTCTCGGTAACCATTCTGTTGGTGGTAGTAGTGTTAGTTTTGTTATTCCGAGATGTTACGTCATGTGGAATAAAACAAGTGAGTATTTGTGATAGCCTAAATCTTTCATTGCTGGTATTGTAGAGAACCCTTATTCCCGTTAAGGAAGAATGGACATAAAGATGTAAGGTAGAACACATTAAGTAAAAACACTGTGGTCCTGAATTGGTATTAGAAGCATCAGTATTAAATCATTAATAACGTTTGTTTTCTTAACTCTGGCAATGGAAGATTTCTAAGACAAATACTAACATTAACCCAGCAGCTTAGAGTACCCAGTGCTCAGAAGGTGGTCCCTAAAATAATCTCTCAAAACAAAAACAAAAACACAGTACATTTTTGGAGAAATCATGATTCTAAAACTGGGGCAGGAAATGCATAAGCCTGGACGTCTTTATTGATAGCAAAGAAATTATTTGTTACTAGGGTTGTGACAAAACAGCTTAGGAGCTGAGCTGAATAGGTTCGTACTGGCCAAAAATGGAACACTGTAGGCATCATTAAAAAAAAACCCAAAACTACAATGAGTTGAAATATATCACATATGTTTAAATCCATGATTTCAGAATAATACCAAAGCAAACAAAAATATGAGGTCCCCATTGGGAGAGGCAAGTGAACCAATTCATTATACTGAAAACTGATACAAGGAAAGCACAGCCTGTACCACTCGTTAACCAAAGAGGCAAAGAGAACTTTCTTTTTAAAGAAGTATTGCAGCTAATAAAGAAAGATGGAATAAGACTATTATTCTTCAAACCTACCAGTTAATGATGCAGACACTGATCACCCAAGGCCACTAACATCACAAAAAGAAAAGACAAATTTTAAGTGCCTCTTGAAAGAACAGAATACCACCTAATTTGTTCAAGCCTATAGATCCATTTACCACTTTTAGAAAATACAGATAATACTCGGTCATTCATCATATAAACTGCAGGAAAAAAGAAAAGAGACATAGAAAGTGGCAACACATTAAAAGAGATTTAGGAGACATAAATCAATCAAAATTTGTGGACTGTACTGTATCTGAATCCTGATTTTATACAAGCTGTAACAACAAAAACAAAAACTCATTATGTACGATACAATGTAAGAATTTGATTTCTGGGTATATATACATACCAAAAAATGGAAAGTAAGCTCTCAAGGAGACAGTCATACACCCATGTTCACAGCAGCATGAGTCACAATAACCAAAAGATGGAAACAACCCAAATGTCACTGGCAGACAGAATGATAAACAAAATGTGGTCTATACACAATCAGGAATTCTTTAGCCTGAAAAGAAAGGAAATTCTCACACATGCTACAAAATGGACAAGCCTTGAGAATATCATGCTGAAAGAAGCCAGTCACAAAAAACCAAAACCTGCATGAATCTACAGATCTATAAGTATAAAGGTATCGAGAGAAGTCAAGTTCATAGAAACAGAAAGTAGAATACTGGTTGCCAGGGGCTGGGAGGAAAGGGCTATGGAGAGTTGTTGTTTAAGGTGTATAGTGTTTTAGTTTTGCAAGATGAGAAAGTGCTAGAGACAGGTTACCCTACAGTGTGAATACACTTAACACTCCTGAACTGTAGACTCAAAAATGGTCAAGATGGTAAATTTTATGTTGTGTATTTTGCTACAATTAAAAATCTGTTATGTGTGAATATAGATACAAAAACCTCAAGAAAAATATTAGACAATCAAATCAAGCATCATATAAAAAATATTATATACCATGTCCAAGTAAAATTTACTCCAGGAACGCAGGTTAGTTTAACATCCGAGAATCAATCAATATAACATACAATGTTAATAGAAAAAAAGACAAAAACCACATAATCATTTTAAGAGACGTACACACACAAAAAAGCATTTGACAGAACTGCACCTCCTTTTCATGATGAAATTACTCAACCAACTAGCAACAGAGGGAATTTCCTCAACTGGACAAAATGCATCTTGTTAGATACTTACTGGGTGAAAAACTGAAAGCTATCTCCCCAAGACCAGGAACAAGACAAGAATGTCTAGTTTTACCACTTTCCCATTGTACTAGAGGTTTTAACTGGGACACCTGGGGGAAGAAAAGGTAAGGGAGCGCCTGGGCAGCTTAGTTGGCTAAGCCTCTGTCTCTTGATTTCAGCTCAGGTCATGATCTCATGGTTCGTGAGCTTGAGCCCTACACTGGGCTCTAGACGGACAGCTCTGCACTGGTAGCATAGAGCCTGCTTTGGATCCTCTCTCTCTGCCCCTCCTCTGCTCATGCTCTCTCTCTCACTCTCAAAACAAATAAACTTAAAGAAAAAAAAAAAAGGAAAGAAAGGCATCTAAAGTAGAAAGGAAGAAGTAAACTATCTCTATTTACAGATAACATCTTGTATACAGAGAATCCTAAGGAATCCACTTTCACATGTAAAAAACTATTAGAGTTAATGAATTATTTCACCAAGGTTGCAGAATACATGATCAACATATAAAATCAATTTTATTTCTACACCCAAGCAATGAAATGAAGAAAACAATTTCCCTTAAAATAGCACCAAAAAGACTAAAAAGCTTAATAAATTTAAAGAAGTGTAAGACTTGTACACTGAAAACTGTAACATATGAAACAAAGTAAAGAAGACATAAATAAATGGGAAGACATTTTGTGTTCATGGTTTGGAAGATGGAATATTATTAAGATGGCAACACTCCTCCAAAATGATATGTGAATTTAGTGTAATCCATATCTTGCTTTTTCTGCAGAGAGAATAACAAATCCATATAAAATTCCTAGGGAAAAGCAAGGGACTCTGAATAGCCAAAACAGTCTTAAAAAAGGAACAAAGTTTGGAGAGTCACATTTCCTGACTTTGAGTTTTATTATAAAGCTTAAGTAATCAAGACGCTATGGTAATCAAGTATAAGGACAGGCATACAAATCAATGGAATAGAGTTGAAAGTCCAGAAATAAACCCTTACATTTGTGGTCAGCTAATTTTTGACAAGGAACATAGAGACAATTAAGAAAGAACGTTCTTTTCAACAATGGAGTGGAGACAACTAGAGAGCCATGTGCCGAACAATGAACTGGAACCATACCTCAAACTATTTGTAAAAGTTAACTCAAGATAAATCAGACGCACATCTGAGAGCTAGACTATAAAACTTTTGGAAGAAAGCAGAAGAATAAACCCTTGCAACCTTGAGTTTCACAATGACTTCTTAGATATGACACCAAAAGCATATGGGATTTAAAAAATATATAAACCAGACTTCCTCTACATTAAAAACTTTTGGGCTACAAATGACATAATCAAAAATGTAAAAGAACAGTGTGTAAGAAAACATTTACCAACCAGAGACCTACGAGGCACTTGTATTTAGAAAATACAAAGAACGCTTACAACTCAACAATAAAACGACCAAAAGAACAAACTGAAAAAAGGGGAAAGGGCATCTGGCTGGCTCAGTAGATGAAGTATGTGACCCTTGATCTAAGGTTGTGAATTCAAGCCCCCTGTTGGGTATAGAAATTATTTAAAAATAAAACAACCTTAAAAAAAGGGGGGGGACAAAAGGTCTGAATAGACAGTTCTCAAAAGAAGATATATAAATAAATGGCCAATAAACACATGAAAAAATGCTTGAAAGCACTAGTTATTAGGGAAATACAAATCAAAACCACACCAAGACACCCCTTTATTTATGTTCAGTAGGCTAAAATAGAAAAAAGAGAGGAGTGCCTGGTTGGCTCAGTCAGTGGAGTCTGTGCCTCTTGATCTCAGGGTCACAAATTTGACAATGTCTGGCAGTTAACTCAAAAGGCAGAGTTACCATATGACCCAGCAATTCCCACTCTGGGTATATACCCAAGAGAAATGAAAACATATACACAAATGTTTATGGTACCATTATTCATAATAGCCAAGAGGTAGAAATGATCTAAATGCCCATGAACAGATGAACAGATAAACAATGGAATATTATTCGAGAGAGAGAGAGAGAGAGAGAAATGAAATATGATACATGCTACAGAATGGATAAACCTATAAATGTTATGCTCATTAAAAGAAGTCAATTATACAAAAGACCAAGTTGTATGATTTCATCCATATGAAAGATCCAGAAAAGGTAAAGTTACAGAGACAGAAAGTAGATTAGTGGTTGCCTAGGGCTGGGCTGGGGGTGGGGCCGGGGGGGAAGGTTGGAGACTGTATGAGGGAAATGCGTAAGGGGTTTCTTCTTGGGGTGACGAAATATTCTAAAATTAAATAGTAGTGATGATTGCAAAACTCTGTGATATACTAAAAACTACTAAACTGCATACTTTAAAAGGGTGAATTTTGTGGGCACCTGGGGGGCTCAGTTGGTTAAGTGTCTGGCTTTGGCTCAGGTTATGATCTCACAGTTTGTGAGTTTGAACCCCTGTGCTGGGCTCTCTGCTGTCAGTGCAGAGTTGGCTTCAGATCTGTCTCCACTCCTTCACCCCGCCCCTTTCCACTTGTCTCTCTCAAAAATAAACCAAAAATAAAATAAAATAATTTAAAAAAAGGTAAATTTTGTGGTATGTGAATTATATTTTAATAAAGTTGTTCTAAAATCAAAAAAGACATGGGGCGCCTGGGTGGCTCAGTCGGTTAAGCGTCCGACTTCGGCTCAGGTCATGATCTTGCAGTTCGTGGGTTCGAGCCCCACGTTGGGCTCTGTGATGACAGCTAGCTCAGAGCCTGAAGCCTGTTTTGGATTCTGTGTCTCCCTCTCTCTCTGACCCTCCCCTACTCATGTTCTGTCTCAGTCTCTGTCTCAAAAAATAAATAAACTGTGAAAAAAAATTTTTTTAATAAAAAAGACATGATTTATATGGGACAAATGGAAATCTGAATACAGACTATTTGATAACGTTAAGAAATTACTGTTTATTATACTTACGTGTGATAATGGTATTGTGATTTTGTTTAGAAGAAAAACCACTCATCTTTTACAGATACACACTAAAATATAGACAAAATGATCTGACGTCTAGGATTTGCTTCAAATATGGGGAGTGTGGGTGGCACTATAGATGAAACAATATGGCAAATGCTGTTGGGTCTGAGTATCAACATAGTGTTCATATATTTGATTCTGTACTCTTGCGTATTTTTGAAATTTTCTATAATTAAAAGCTAAAAAAATGATAGGCATTTATTAGATCACACAGGCCAATTCACTTAAATAACTTTAATGCCACCAACAATGTTGATATTTCACTATGGCTTAATATAAAAAATAATCTTAACATTAACTCTAAAATTCCATGATTCTTTTTTTTTTTCCTGGAATATAATTTAGAGTCTGTGTTGAATGCAATAAGTCAGTAGCTCAATTTCCATGACTATTTTTGTTGTTGTTGTGATTCAAGTTCTTAGGCTAAGAAGAATGTGATTTCACCACAGCTGTTTCAGGGCAAACAGGCCTACCAGGACTAGCCAGTTCTTGGCATTCCACTTGACTGACGAACAGAGGGAAACTTCCTCTGCATCTGTTTAAGCATTTAAGAATTAATAGGATAGTGTGGTACTAACAAACATTTTCTGTAAAAGTTCAGTTAGTAAATATTTTAGGTTTTGCCAGTCAAATGGTGCCTCTTGCAACCTTTCAACTTTGATATTTTAGTGTGAAAACAGTCATAGACAATATGTAAATTAGTGGGAATGGCTGTGTTCCATAAAACTTTATTTATAAAAACAAGTGGTGGGCCACTTGCAATCGGCTCACAGGCAATATTCACCAATCCTTATGCTAGGGGTTACTGGCTCCTGGCAGGGAATTAAAAGATAAAAATATGGTTTGGCATATACAATGATAACAAAAATTGAGAAAACACACATGTACATGAAGTGCAGTACTTACAGGTGTTTGGATCATCATGGCTCGTTGATCTCTCATTGTTCTTACAATGTCTAGTGGATAAACTGGTTGATTGCATTCAATGAGACACATGGCTGTTTCCATAGTAATAAGAACCCCAGTTCTTCCAATTCCAGCACTAAAAAAAGTAAGGGGCAAGGTCTCATTGATACTATTCTGTTAAACTTCTTGTGGCTTCTGTACAGTAAATTAAAGTACTGAAACATAATACAAAGGAATAATAATTTGATTTTAATTAAAAGATTTATATTACAAAAGTAGAGCCCAACTAGAAAGTACTTTGAAAATTAAAAGACAATTCACATGTAATACAGATTAAATGGTTTGTACCCACCCCTCCCCCATTGTTAGTGTAAAAATGCTACTTTAAAAGAGTCAGATTTCAGTTTTAAAAATCTGAACAAGTATAGAGGCTTATTGGAGCAACCTCCCTTTAAAATGCAAAATAACAAAATCACAATAACATTAACAAATGTACAGAAGACAATATAGTATTTTATACATTCCAATCAGGTTTTAAAACCAAATTCAATTTTGATTAAACTTTAGAAATGGATACTCAAGAACAACTTTATTCTCTGTGAACATGGCTACAGCAGCTTTTGGGGACTTAGGATTATGAAATGGCTAAATGTGTTCATCATTCCTGCCATTTTGCCTCTCAGATATCTGGTCTATAATCTGTTTTGATAATTTGAAAATCTGCTCTTAAAAAAGTGCTGGAGGGGCGTCTGGGTGGCTTAGTCGGTTAAGCGTCCGACTTTCGCTTAGGTCATGATCTCGCGGTTCGTGGGTTGGAGCCCCGCGTCGGGCTCTGTGCTGTCTGCCTGCTCAGAGCCTGGAGCCTGTTTCACAGTCTGTGACTCTCTCTCTCTCTGACCCTCCCCTGCTCACGGTGTCTCTCTCTCTCTCTCTCTCCTAGAAATAAATAAAACATTTAAAAAAAAAAGTGCTGGAAAGTTTAAGGATGAAAAGATACCTTCATTTATTTATTCAGAGGATTCAATATAGGTTCTGAATAAATCACTTAGAACAGAAATGGCTAGGATTAGGAGAAGAGAATTTCAGTTTCCTACTCTGGGTTGGTGGCAGTGAAGGCTGGAGTCCCTGTACTGGCAGGCAGAATGGGGCCAGAGCATGATAACAAGAGAGGGTAGCCTGTCACTATCCCCCTGGAGCTCTCAGAAGTGGCACACCCTCTTGTGGTATTGGGCAGAGCCACTCCAGAGGAGGGGAGAGTACTTGCCAAATATGCTGGCAGAGGCCACAGAATGGGAGGGAGTGCCTTGCTGGGAGGAGGAAATCTAAACCATAGGCTGCAAGTGAATGTCTACAACATTGTATTTCATCGAGTCTAAGATGCCAGCCATTGTAAGACACCCAATGTCTGAGATGTCCTTTTCTTTCTTTTTTTTTTTTTTTAAATATTTTTATTTATTTCTAGGAGAGAGAGAGAGAGACAGCGTGAGTAGGGGAGGGTCAGAGAGAGAGGGAGACACAGACTCTGAAATAGGCTCCAGGCTCTGAGCTGGCAGTCAGCACAGAGCCCGACGCGGGGCTCGAACCCACGAACCGCGAGATCATGACCTAAGCGAAAGTCGGACACTTAACCGACTAAGCCACCCAGGCACCCCTGAGATGTCCTTTTCAAGAATCATGCAATAAAGTATCATTTTTACTTCTTCTGATAATGTTTCAGACAATCGTATGTTGGAACATACCTTTTGCCTTCCAGCTTCATTTCACAGCTTTGGGTTCCCTCTAATTACCATAGTGATGATCAAAATTTTAGGACAAAATAAAATATGCATTCCCTTTTCAAAGTGACACATCCAGTCAGCTATTCAATCATAAAAGATAGGAAATAGAATACCTGCAATGAACAACAATCGGTTCTTCCTTGCCAGCCCTCTTATTTCGTACATGACAGACGAAATCCAGAAAGTCACTGGAATCATCAGGGACTCCATGGTCAGGCCAGGCTATGTACTGGATCTGAGTGAGCTGACGACTCTCATTTTTCTAAGTGTGAATAAAAAATTATGCACCTTGACTTAAGAATTATCTTTAAGATATAAACATTTATGTCATTTTAATTTTAGAAGAAAAGTGAAGAAAATATTCCCATTACCTCCCAAAAAGTAATGCAGAGATTCAATAAAACCCAAAATTTTAATGAAAAAGAAAGAAACCATTTTACAGAAACAGTTGTATCCATTAAGCATTGTTTACCTACTACTCTACTGATATCTCAATTTCTTGTATTTTTCAGATGACAATCAAATAAATAAGCAGAACAAGTTAAGAAATGTGTAAAGAAAACTAAAAAAGTGTCAGGTGAGCAAAAATGAATGGTAAAAAACTTTTATAAGCAAAGTTAGGCCAATTCTGAAAAACACAAGTGAAATAATGGAAATTAGGAAAACAAAAATAAAAATAAAAATAAATATAGATTAAAAACTGGAGATCATAAAACCATAAAGTCAAATCAGGGCTTAATTCTTTTTTAGGAGTCAAGAGTCAGTAAAATGGAGAAAAGTTTTGGATTTATACATCTCAGTTCAAATCCTGACTCTGCCGGTAAGCACTTAATATTTCAGAGCCTTAATTTCTTAAAATGAAAAATAACACCTACAACTCAAAGGGATAGTCTTACACTGAAAGGATTCTATGAGAGGACCAATCAGCTGTTTGGAATCATATTCTCAACAAATGATAAGTATGGTCATTCAACACTATGAAATCCGGCTATAGTCATTTACATTAAAGGGAGCTTCCAGAAAAGACCATTAAAGTAGGAGGTAATTAAGAAAGGAACTAATGAAATAAGAATTCCCAAAGAGACCTCAGAATAACTTGGTAAGTAATTTTTCAGTATCCTGTGAAATGAAAGGAAGTTATCTACAATAGACAACTTTTGATTATTACTTTTTTTTTTTAAGTAGGCTCCACACCTAGTGCAGAACCCAACACAGGGCTTAAACTCATGACTCTGAGATCAAGACCTGAACTGAGAGCCACAGGGTGCCCCTACTATTATTGTTAACAAAAGAATTTAACAGTACCAATAATTACAAAAATGGGTAGTGTAAAATTATATTTTATTATGTTTTGAGGTAGTATCTTTCTATTCATCCATGTATGTATGTATTTAGTATGGTAACAAATGTATTTTCCCAATTATATTTGTCCCAAACTTTAAAAACTAATTTGTGTCTTGGCATAGTTCTGAGGTACTCAGGGTTTGCAAAGAAAAGACATTTTAATATTATAAACTGCCATGGGTAATCTGTAGGTGGAGCATAAAGAGACTATGCTGAAGCCATATATAGCCTTTCATTTCCATTTGGGAAAATGAAGAAAATATATTATGGACTTACCTTGTTACATTAGACCATGAGCTATACTGTATATGTCCCTAAGCACTAATTCATTCTGATGGAATCTACGAAAGATTATGAAAATTTAATTTTTTATGTCTTATAACTATTTAATGCCAGATTCCTTTATTATAAATCAGCACAACTTCTAGTTCCTTCCCTCTGGGTCAGTAAAGCTCTGTCTTGTGCTCCTTTATTCATATCTGGGAGGTGGAATGGGGTGGGGAGAGGGAGATGAAGCTCTCATTTCCTAGCGCTTAACCATTGATGGGGTAGGCATGGGTATTCAAAGAGTGTACTATCTGCTCTTCTCGAGTCCCCTTCAAAACCAAAGGTGGCTACAGAGGGAATATCTAGCTGCAAGCAGTGAATGTGGGATGTACTATCTTTAACAGCCTGACAGGACTGGCAATATGCCACCCTCCACACACATCTTCCAAGTGGGTTGCTAAGCCATCATTTACTAATCAGTTTCCATTTCTGGCTCTGGATTTGGAAGCAAAGAAGAGTGACCCAGGTGGCAGTAAGAACTAGCAATTAGAAAACTATAATCTATCTTTTGTCAAAGGATCCTATCTACAGTCTTTTCCTTAATACTGAGGAGACTGAAACTGTTCTCCTTTATACTCTTTTACAAAAAGGACAATAATTTGACAGCTATTAATTATTCTACTTCTACAGATGCCTTCAAATACTTTATTGATATTAGTGGTAGGAAAAAACATAAACCTGGCATGATTTTTAATGAATAGGAAAAGTATTAAGAGTAGTATTATTCACTAGAATCTTTTTTTTACTGACCATTCATATATTTACTTAAAGAAGTGGAAAATGCATTTAATACAGTAGAAGCATATACTTCATAAGATTCCAAAGCATCCCAACGAAGCAAGAAATTCATAAATTTTAAAATATTTCCTAGTTAACCACCAGGACTCAAAACATTGTCAGCTTTCAGAGTTTTACCTTGAACATAAAAGTTCTAGTGGATATCCTGCCTTCCTACCTCTTGGTTAAACAGTGTCATCTTCCTGAAGATATATGCTGTATTTCCTTCTTCTGAGTGACAGGTGACTTGGTAGCAGCCATAGGATGAGCTTGCTGTGGGTTCTGGCCAATACTGGTGACACTTAACCTGACATCAATAGATTTAAGAAATGTATATAGTTTAGGTTTTTGAATTTTGAAAATGTTTTAATTTTTGAAAACTTGTAAGCCTAAGAAAAGTTACAAGAACAATTTGATGAATTACCTTTCACCTAGATCTGTCAACTGTTAACATTTCTTTGTCTTTTTTTCTCTTTGTAATAGTCATCTGTTTGGATAGATTTTGAAACTGCAAAAATCCTGTTTATTACAAGCTTTCACCCAATGTTCTACCATTCTTGACTAATTCTTGCGTGAATCATTAACTACTATGATATTGGCAAAATGGTGCACTAATTTTTTATGTCTAGATTTAAGTTAACAATGAGAAAGAATCTCTAAAATGCCAGTACATTTATTTTCATAATTAGGAATAAAATTTTTTTTAGCTTATTCATTTATTTTGAGAGAGACAGAGAGACAGAGAGAGAGAGAGAGAGAGAGAGAGAGAGAGAGAGAGAGGGAGAGCACAACGGTTCAGACAGACAGACAGGGAGAGAGATCCCAAGCAGACTCTGTTCTGTCAACGCAGAGCCCAACCTGGGGCTCGAACTCAAACAGTGAGATCATGACCTGAACCAAAACCAAGAGTCAGATGCTAAAGTGACTGAACCACCCAGGCGCCCTATAAATAGGATTTTTAAAAAAAAAACAAAAAACAGCTTTACTGACATATAATTCACATAGCATGTAATTTACCCATTTAAAGCACAAAATTCAATTGTTTTTGGTATATTCGCAGAACTGGGCAACCATGAGCACAATCACTTTTAGGACATTTTTTCACTCCCAAACCCATTAATAATCACCGTGTGTTCCTCTATCCCAACCTCTTGTTTCATTCTGGACCCAGGCACCCATTAATCCACTTAGAACCCTGTGTGAGTCTGCTCCCTCTGGACACGTCATACAATGGACTCACACCGTGTGTGGTGTCTGGTGACTGTTCACTTGGCATAATGCTTTCTGGGCTCACGCGTGTTATAGCGTGTATCATTTCTTTGTTCCTTTTGATGGCCAAATAATACATGTGTGATTATATGAGGTTTTATTTGTTACATTTCAGTTGTTTCCACCTTTTGGCTATTATGAATGATACTGCTATGATCATTTGTGTACAAATATTTGTGTGGATGCAGTGCAACTGCTGAGTTACAGTAACTCTCATGGTTAGCCTTTTGAGGAACTGACAAACTGTTTCCTGAAGTAGCTGCACGATTTTACAGATCTACCAGCAGAATAAGAGGGTGCCATTTTCTCCATATCATTGTCAACACCTGCTATTATCTGTCATTTTTATTTTAGTCATCCAACTGGGTATGAGGTGCTACCTCTTTGTGGTTCTGATTTTACATTCCCCTGTGACTAATGAAGCAGCCAAGCATCTTTTCACGAACTTACTGGCCATTTAAGTATCTTGATTCAAGAAACATCTACTCAGAATGCTCGGCCATTTTTAAATTGAGGTTTCATCATTTTATTGTTGAATTGCAGGAGTTCTTTATATATTCTAGATCCAAATCCTTTACCAAATATCTATTAATCCATTTAGATAATAACTGATAAGAGTGGCTAGCATTTATATACATTTATTATGAGTTAGTCACTATGATTTTAATCACAACCACAAGAAATTAAGTTCAAAGTATAAAAAAGACTAAATCAAAGTGAATATTGTGACTATATATGCAATATACTTTGAAAAAAGCGTTGTTTAAGATTCCAGCATGACTTACTCTGCCACGTTCAACTTGTGTGGTCAACATTACAACCATGGAGGAGCCTTGTTCCCAAGTCATCTGCCAAAAATCTGTACAAGTGTGTGGTAATGGCCCTTGACAAGCAATATACTGATTTATAATGCTTGAAGAAGGGATTTCCATCTAAAAGGAAAAGGACACAAAACTAAAATTCTTTTACATTATTACTTTTTACTATGATCAAGTATATGAAAATCATCCACTAAATAATAACTGAATACAAGTGATCTCAAAAAACTGCAAAGTGAATAAAAGAAAACTTAATTAACAATTTCTTTATCTGTAGAAGAAATTTCTCAGTAATTTTATGTATATTTATCTTTTAAGAATTGGAAATAAAAATCAAAATATTTTCCAAAGCACTCATTGGTTTAAGAGCAGCTTTACAGAAAACCCTGTTTCAGGGGCAGAGACTTGGTACAGAAATAAAAAATATTTGTCTCTAAATAGCTTACAGGTAAAATTTGCAAGGAACAAAAATTCTGCCATTTGTTTTAGTTCAAACTTTACAAATTATATATATATGTCATATATATATATACACACATGCTATATAACATTTAGTACATTATACTATATAAGATATATATATATACACACACACAATAGAAAAAGATAGTAAAAATATCTTAAACTCATTATTTTCAGGAAGAAGTAAGATTGTGAGTGTTTGGGGAAGATGAGTTATACATACTACATTTTGAGACTTAATTAAAAAGGAAGAAAAGGTGACACATGCACATGGCACTGGAAGAATACTAAAAGGTGAATAGAAAAAGAGGTCTCCAGAAGTGCCTGGGATGCTCAGGTTATGATCTCGCGGTTCATGAGTTCAAGTCCTGAGTCAGGCTCTGTGCTGACAGTGCAGTGTCTGGAGCCTGTTTCAGATTCAGAGCCTCCCTCGCTATCTGCTCCTCCTCCACTCACGCGCATGCTCTCTCTCTCAAAAAGAAATAAACATTTACAAAAGGGGGGTGGGGGAAGAAAAGAGGTCTCCCTCCCACCCTCTGGTTCACAACCCAAGAGGACAATCCTTTTTGCTCATTTCTTTCTTTTTAAATTTTAAAAAAATCTGTTTTCATTTTTGAGATGGGGGTGAGCAGAGAGAGAGAGGGAGAGAGAGAATCCCAAATGGGTTTTGTGCTGTCAGCAAAAAGCCTGACACGGGGCTTGAATTCATGAACCATGAGATCATGATCTGAGCCGAAACCAAGGGTCCGGACACTTGACTGACTGAGCCCCCCAGGAGTTCCTCTAGTTTCTAACATCCTTCCAGAGATACTCTATACACAATACATAAATGTACATGCAAAAGTCTTTGTTTTCTGTAAGACATAAAAGGTAGCTTACAATGTTGTTCTGTGTATCTTTTTTCTTTTTCCACATTATCACTGAGATCATGTCATAATTAGTACATAAAGTTTCATTCTTTTTAATGGCTCTACTGTATAAATATATCATAATTAATTTAACAAACATTTAAGTTGCTGCTTATCTATTTGCTACATAAGCAAGGCTGCACTGAGTGTTTTTGTAAACTTAACATTTTTGTTAGTTACCTCTCCAAAGAGGTTATGCCTATTTACACTTCCAGCAACAACACATGAGGGATGTTTTTCCCCTGAGAGTCTCAATATACTGCTAATCCTTAACCCACAATTTTGTTTTTGTTTTGTTTTTTAAATTTTTTAACGTTTATTTATTTTTGAGAGAGAGAGAGACAGAGCACGAGCAGGGGAGGGGCAGAGAGAGAGGGAGATACAGAATCTGAAGCAGGCTCCAGGCTCCGAGCTGTCATCACAGAGCCTGATGCAGGGCTCGAACCCAAGGATGGCGAGATCATGACCTGAGCCGAAGTTGGATGCCTAACTGACTGAGCCCCCCAGGCGTCCCCCTCACCCACAATTTTAAAACTCCCAGTGCTCTGAAGTGTAGTTTGTCCTTTCTGTGGTACATTTGACCTAGCTTGGACTCATTTGACAACAATATCTGACCTGAACTAATTTAAGATTATTTACAGTCTTTAGTACCACTCAGTGGGAATATGCATGGTTTCCTATTAAATATCAACATGTTGATTACAGGGTAACGTCTCATAGTCTATTAAGGATGTTACTTACTACAGTATACAGTACAGGCACTGAATAACCTTTTAAAAATCCAAAAAAGGATGAATCCCAAAGTCTATTTGGCCCCAAAATTTCAGGTAGGGGATACAGACTTGTATATGGTATTATCACACTTTTTGGTATTTCAATCTAATAGGTGAAAAATAGTAATTTCTTACAGTTTTGATTTGCACTTTTCTTTTTGTGAGTTTAGACAAATGTCTAAACTTAGAAAAAATTTTCCCTTTCTGAGATTTTAAAACAATTCTCATACATTTCCTCCAACTACTTTCACAATCCCATTTTTACATTTATATTTTCATAGATCTAAAATATGTTATACAAAAAGTGAGTGGGTGAAGTATTTATAGATAAAAAATATTTCTGGCCTATTCTATTCCACTGCTCTATATGCATGTTAATATACCAGTACCAGTTTTTGGTAAAGTTTATTTTATTTTGAGAGAGAGCGTGAGCAAACACGTGCACAAGTGGGGAAGCGGCAGAGAGAGACTACTAAGCAGGTGCCCCAGTATCAAACTATTTTTTAATATTAATTTTATAATATTTTTCCATATCTGTAAGTGTTAAAAAAGTTTAGAGGCGCCTGAGTGGCTCAGTCAGTTAAGCGCCTGACTCTCAATTTTGGCTCAGGTCACGATCTCATGGCTCATGAGCTTGAACCCTTCACTGGGCTCTGTGCTGACAGAACAGATGGGATTCTCTCTCTCTCCCTCTCTTTCTGCCCCCACCCCCACTCATGCATACTTTTTTTTCTCTCTCAAAATAAGTAAAAATTTCAACAAAAAAAGGAACCACAAAATTATAGTGGTCCGTTTTATTCTGAATAACAAAGGCAGAATAAAAATAAACTTACATTTATATAATTTGCATTGATATAGTCTTCATTACCCTTTAAAATGACCCGTGTAGCATCATCTGAAAGAAATTTTAAAGAATGTTTTAATAAAATTATGCTACAAAGATAAAACTTAATAAACAGAGATAGCAGATACTTACAAGGCGAAATATCTCTGTATCTATTTTTGGAAATATTCTGAGGTAATTTGGCACAAGACATTGTCATTCCAGGTTTTTTCCGATACAGTTGCTTTAAAAAAAGAGAAAAAGAGCTTAAGATGAGTTCAGCAAGCCATTAAGAGATTCTGTTTTGCTTTTCAGACTTATTTCTATGCAAAAAACAAACAGGTTTTTTTCCTTAGGACACCTTATCCATACAATGATGTATGTACCTTAGGCTAGTTGGATATTGAGCCAAATTTGCACAGCTGAATTATGTACAATTTCTCACAAGAATTATTTACCATAACTTTTTTGAATGATGAAACAAATGAAAATAATTTTGCTTATAGCAAAATGCCTTAAGTTTTGAATCTCAAATCTGCAGACAACATATAGCTTTCATGCAGTTTGGAGATGTTTACACAGTATATGAATCAAGAACTTCTTAAAAGAACAACTGACCTACCCTAAATGACTTAGTCACACATGCTTTACAGTCAATCATCAATAACACATACTTTAGAGCAACAAATGACCAATTACATAGACTAATAAAAGCAGAGGATTAAATATGACTAGGTACAAAAGTTCTTTTCCTTTAACTCAGGATTTTTAGCTCCACCACTGCCTATCTTCATGTGCCGCCTTTCATAAAAATAGCTATTTAATTACAGGAAAAAATTTAGTTTGATGACATATGCGTAAAATCTCCTTATTCTTCTCTTTTAATAGATATCTATTATGTAACCACTATGTTACCACGACTAGTAGTTTGCAAGCAATGTTTAAAACTATGTATTTTAGAACATTTTTTCTGTCAATTATTTCTCAGAATACCATTTTAGTTTATACATTATGAACGATCGATTAGGTTGTTAAGAAACCATGAAATTAATTAAAAAAATATGGCCCAACATGCTTTCCATACAATAGTACTTACATCAAATTGTGTCAGGACTGTTCCAGTGATTAGTCCCTCAGCCAGCTGGATCATCGACTCCCGTAGGGAATGGTCATCCTGATGGACACTGTCTACTGGGGCTTTCTCAGGAATGTACTGGAAGTCTGGTTCATTTTCTAGCTTTTCTTCCACTACATCATATACAGCTAAAAAGCAAAAAAAAAAAAAAAAAAAAAGCAAAAAAGCCACATGAAAATCTTAATGAATTGGCAAAAAGTTACCAGATATGTTCTTTAATTTTGTGTCAGGAAAAAGAATTCATCAGATCTCAGCCTGGTGGTGTGTGTAAGAGACAGAGACTGGCTGTGAAGTTGAGCTCTGGTGTACCTTTGGGGGAAGAATGTTCCTGGACACACTGCTGAAGGTGTCTGTACCTGAAGAAGCAGCTCAGAGCAGACCTTCCCTTAAATTGTGGGACCCAGAACAAAATTAGAAGCAGGGACCTATACACTATACATCCAGATATGAAAAGATACAAATAACTTGAATAGAGTGCTAAATAAAACCTGTTCTATCCTCTTTCCTGACACATCAACAAAACCTGGGAGGCCAGAATCCACGGTCACAACAGAACGTAGACTCCGGCCTGGAGCCTGCCCAAAGCTCCATTCTTTAACACAGGGGCCTATGAACATATATGTGGACATACCAGCCCATATGCAAGCCTGTTCTCCACTCCTCTGCAAATGGCTGCCTCTTGGCTATCCTGCTGGCCCAGGGGCACATACAGCATGTGATCTACCCCAGGGAGAATGGACCTAGGGAAAATGGTCACACTGGAAGTGGGATCAGAGCTATTTAGGCAGAGAACTGAAGGTTAAAAAGTAGTTTAGAAAAGGCATAGTCACTGGGGATAGCCTGTCACCCGCCTTGGTCCTGCAAAATCCTAGCCCCCACAGACAAGGGCAAAGCTGAAAGAGAACCAGAGTAGAGACAAGCTAGTGGCTTCTTTGCCCATGCCTAAGAGGTTTGGTTCCTGTTCAGATGTGTGTACTTCTGAGAAGAAAAAATTTCTGAAATAAAGAATATATGAATGCATTCTAAGAAGAAATGAAAGCTAAAGGAAGAAAAAACCTACCAAAACAAGCTGTTTGTCTTTCTGATACTTTTTGTAAACATAGTTTTAAATTTTGATGATATGTTATTTTAAATAAAAAGGGACACGACAGACTCATGTTAACAAGTCCCAGTCCAGATTTTGACAAAACAGAAAGGTCTTTTGCCAAGTAAGCCATAGGTGGTTTCCTTTCCTAATTTCAAATATAAAGTGATTCAGAATTGTAAAAAGGCTGTGATTTTTCCATTAAATGGAATTTTGTCATATTCTGGTTCTACACAAGACATGAAATTTGTAAGCAGGCAAATGAATGTCTTGGTGTCAAACTGTCTTCAACTATCAAATGAGGATAATTCACCTATCTCACTGGATGACTGTAAAGATGAAATGAGAATATTTAAAATAGCCCAGGTGCAGAACTTACTATTAAGTTCTTTAGGATCTGTTATCTAGAGAAAACAGAACAAGCAAAACCCAGGGAAAATTATTCTTATTATAAAATTTAAGTTGCATTATGTGACAGAAAATGCATAGTAATGAATCACATAAACCTCAGGACTAAATGAATGTGTTCCTTGAAAAGTCAAAATAGAATATTCTGTTGAAATTCTCTGAATTTTCTTAGAAAGCCAATTCTAGACCATGAATGCAAAAAACAAAGTTGAGAAGCTAAAATGAAAATGCCTGTTTGTACCCAAGAGACAAAATGAGAGTTTTGTATTTCTTTTTCTTTTTCTCTTTTTCCTTTTCCTTCCTTTTTTTTCTTTCTCTTTCTATCCTTCCTTCCTCCCTCCCCCACCTTCCCTCTTCTTTCTTTTTTTATTTTTATTTTTTTAAAATTTTATTTCTGAGAGAGAGAGAGAGAGAGAGAGAGAGAGAGAGAAAGTGTGAGCAGGGGAGGGTCAGAGAGAGAGGGAGACACAGAATCTGAAACAGGCTCCAGGCTCTGAGCAGTCAGCACAGAGCCGACGTGGGGCTCGAACCCACAAACCGTGAGATCATGACCTGAGCCGAAGGCGGACACTCAACCGACTGAGCCACCCAGGCGCCCCCTTCCTTTTCTTTTTTTAATATTTTTTAATGTTTTTATTTATTTCTGAGAGAGAGAGAGAGAAAGCATGAGCAGGGGAGGGTCAGAAAGAGAGGGAGTCACAGAATCTGAAACAGGTTCCAGGCTCTGAGCTGTCAGCACAGAGTCCGACGCGGGGCTCAAACCCACAAACGGTAAGATCATGACCTGAGCTGAAGTCGGACCCTTAACCGACTGAGCCACCCAGGCGCCCCCCCTTCGTTTTCTTTTTTAAAGAAACTCTCTTGGAAAGCTCTGCAGGGTTGGGTGTGGTGGTGTTGATAATGTAATCGGTCAAGCTCTAACTACATTATACTTCTTTATGATATACATTTCAACAACTGGTAGCAAGGCATTAACCAATAATTATTCTTGTGGCTAAAACTATGGCTAATAATGAAACATTCAGAACAAAACTAGAAGAATATTTATAATGCTGGGATACAGGCATGTAAGAACTTTTCCCAGAGGAGACTGATAGTGTTGCAGGAACTTGAAACAGTGCAATAAAACTGAAGAAAGGAAGAAAGGTCTGGGAAAATTAGCTCTTGCCAAAAACCTAAAGGAAGGGGCTTTAATTTATTCTGCATTAAATTCATTCTGCATAGCACAAAGGGGACAGAACTAGGAACATGGATTTTTAGTTCAGTTAATAGCTCAAGCTACCCAAGGGAAAATGAACTGCTTCAGGAGCCACTGAGCGCTGCACAATGGCAGGACGATTTGGGGCTACTGTAGAGCTCCAAGCCACCAACAAAGGAACTAGAGAGTACGGTATTAAGGTTTCTCCAAACCTGGAACTGCGGTTATGAATTAACAAGCCAGCTGTCCAGATAAGGAGATGACACGATTAGGCTACTGGCATTATCCAATGCAAACACAGGCCGGATTTTAAAAAAAGCTTTATATACAGCTTGTTACAGAGTTTTCTAAAAGTGGTTCAAAACAGGCTCTTGAGTTAAGATGGCCGAGTAGAATGGGGACTCTGAGCTTGTCTCATTCCTGGAATGTAGGCGGATCAGCATCAAGCTGGAAATTGATCTGAGGATTAACATAACAATCTGCATAACATGAGCCATAGAACTTGGCAGGTACTTGGTGCAGAGGGGTGAACTGGAGGGGAGAGAAAAGCTGCGGAGCTCCTGCGGGTAGGGAGCCATCTTTGTGGAGAGAGGACAGAGAAAGGGGGAGAGTGCAGCACTTAGGGATTGCACAAGAAAAGTACTCTCCCTGAAAGTAGCTGTAGAGAAAAAGAGACAGAGAGTGTGAAAATACTTGCAGAGGACTGGACAAAAAAATATGTTCTCCAAAACCACTGATGGGGAAAAAGGAGAAGTCTTAATACCACCAGGATGCTATAAACAGTGGAGTGCAGAGTATGAAGGTCTGGAGCTCAGTGCCTGGTGGTGCTCTCGTTTGAGGAAATAGGGCGAATTTTCAGGAGCAGGCAGTGCCGTCTGAGGGGTCTGTGTGCCATGCAGGGAGAAGTGGTTCACCTGACTGAAGCGCATTTGGTAGAGGCCATACAGCCTTCCCTTGGGCCAACCAGGCTTACTGATATAGGAACAAAGATGCCAGAGGTCACCAAAACCTGGCGCTGGCTGCGTGTTGTGATTTACAACTCTGAGACTCTGCTGCTGTGCGAATGTTTTTTGGGACAAGCCGGTATCTGGCCATTGATTGGTGAGATCCCACCCTCAGAGAGTCTGAGCAGATCCAAGCTGCTGGGGGTCTCTGAAGTGTGGGGTTTTGAAACACAGCACCATCTGAGATAAAACCCTGGAGGGAGGTACCACCAAGCAGACAGCTTGGACATGGACAAGGTAGAGGAAGGGAGCAGACAGAAGCCTGAGACAAAGGAGGGGTACTTGTTTATGGGTTGGCAAGGGCACAAAGTTCCTGTGTTAGAGGCTAAGGAGTTGGGTTAAGTCATTTGCACTTTTTGTTCGTGCGCTTACACGGATCAACTCCACTAAGCTAAGCAGCACCACCAAGTGGAGAATGGAGCCACGACCACCCATGCCATCCAGGCACAGCCTCCAGAAAACCACCACAAAACCTTTTCACCTGCTTATTAGTCTACGGACTACAGTGTGCTGTAAAGTTTCACATCTACGGGATGCTGAATGTAATTTCACTTGGGTCTCATTCTGTTTGCTGGTTCGTTTATTTGTTTTCATTGTTTCTGTTTTTGCTTCTGTTGTTTTATTTTTTTCTCTCTTTTCTTTCTCTTTCTTGCATACAGAAAGAGCAAATTATTATTTATTTAAAAAAATTTTTATTCTGTTTTATTTTATTATTTAAACTTCTTAAAAAAATTTCTCTTTATTATCTATTCTGTCAAGCTTCTCTCAACAAACAGACCAAAACACACCTAGGATTTAACTTCCCTTATTTGATTTTTTTGTTTTGTTTCTAATTTTTATCTTATTAATTTTCTTCTTTCAAAATGACAAGATGGAGGAATTCACTCTAGAAGAAAGAAAAGAAAGAAATGACCAGGGATTTAATCAACACAGATGTAAGTAAGATGTCTGCACTAGAATTTAAAACCACAATTATAATACTAGCTGGGGTTGAAAAAAGCATGGAAGACACAAGAGAATTTCTTTCTGCAGAGATAAAAGAACTAAAATCTAGTAAGGCAAAAATTAAATTAAAAATGCTATAACCGAGATGTAATCTTGAATGGATGTTGTGATGGCAAGGATGGATAAAGCACAGCAGTGAATTGGTGTTACAAAAGAAAAAATTACAGAAAATAAACGAAGCAAAAAAAAAAAAAAGAAAGAAAAAGAAAAGAGGGAAACAAAGGCAAAAGATCACAATACAAGACTTAGGGAACTCAGTGACTTATTAAAAAGGAACAATAATCCAATCATAGGAGTCCCAGAAGATGAAGAGAGAGATAAAGAGGCAGAAGGTATTATGTGAGCAAACTGTAGCTGAAAATTTTCCTAATCTGAGGACGGACACAGACTTCAAAATCCAAGAAGCACAGAGGACTCTGATTAGATTCAACAAAAACCGACTATCACCAAGGCATATCACAGATACATTCACAAAATACACACACGAGGAAAGAATTATGAAAGCAGCAAGGGAAAAGTCCTTAACCTACAAGGGAAGACAGATCAGGTTTGCAGCAGGTATGTCCACAGAAAGTTGGCAGGCCAGAAAGGAGTAGCAAGATATATTCAACGTGCTACATCAGAAAAACATGCAGCCAAGAATTCTTTATTCAGCAAGGAAGTGATTCAACATAGGAAAGATAAAGAGTTTCCCAGACAAACAAAAATCAAAGGAATTCATGACCACCAAACCAGTCTTGCAAGAAATTTTAAGGGGACTCTGTGAGTGAAGGAAAAACAAGACCAAAAGCAACAAAGACCAGAAAGGGTAAGAGAACATCACCAGAAACACCAACTCTACAGTCAACACAATGGCACTAAATTCAAATATTTCAATAATCACTGTAAATGTAAATGGACTAAATGCTCCAATCAAGAGCCATAGGGTATCAGAATGGGTAAGAAAACAAGACCATCTATGTGCTGCCTTTAAGAGACTCAATTTACACCTAAAGACACCTGCAGAATGAAAGTAAGGGGATGGAGAACCATTTATCCCATTTATCATGCTAATGGATGCCAAAACAAAGATTGCAACAAGAGATGAAGAAGGGTATTATATCATAATTAAGGTGTCAACAGCCCACTTACAGAAATGGACAGATCATCTAAGCAGAAAATCAACAAGGAAACAATGGCTTTGAATGACACACTGGACTGGATGGACTTAACAGACAAATTCAGAACATTTCATCCTAAAGCACCAGAATACACATTCTTCTTGAGTGCACATAGAACATTCTCCAGAACAGATTACATACTGGGTCACAAATAAGGATTCAACAAGTACAAAATGATCAGTAACATACCATGCATATTTTGGGATCACAACACTATGAAACCTGAAATCAACCACAAGAAAAATTTTGGAATGACCACAAATACTTGGAGATTAAAGAACATCCTAATAAAGAATGAATGGGATGTGGGAGCGAGGGGTGCCTGGATGGCTCAGCCAGTGAAGCATCTGACTTCAGGTCATGATCTCGTGATTCGTTGGATTCGACTTCCACTTCGGGCTCTGTGCTGAAAGCTCAGAGCCTAGAGCCTGCTTCAGATTCTGTCTCCTCTCTCTTTGCCCTTTCTCCACTCAGGCTCTTTATCTCTCTCCCTCTCAAAAATAAATAAACATTTAAAAAAACAGGAATGGGTTAACAAAGAAATTAAAGAGAAAGTTAAGAAGTACATAGTAGCCAATGAAAATGAAAACACCATTGTCCAAAACCTCTGTGAGGAAGCAAAGGCAATATTAAGAGGGAAGTACATAGTAATCCAGCCCTTCCTAAAGAAGGAAGAAATGCCTCAAATACAAACCTAACCATACACTTCTAAAAGAGCTGGAAAAAGAACTGGATAAAGCCCAAAACCAGAATAAGGGAAATAATAAAGAGCAGAAACCAAGGATATTGAAATTAAAAAAAAAAAAAAACCCAAAACCAGTAGAACAGATCAATGAAAGCAGAAGCTGGTTCTTTGAAAGAATTAACAAAATTGATAAACCCCTAGACAGATTCATTCAAAAGAGGGAAATGACCCAAATAAATAAAATCATGAAAGAGGTGAAATCACAACCGACACCACAGAATTACAAATAAAAAGAGATTATGAGCAATTATATGCCAACAAATTGAGCATTCTGGAAAAAGTGGACAAATTCCTAGAAATACATAAACTAGAAACAAGAAGAGAGAAAATTTTAACAGACCTATAACCTAAAGAAATTGAATAAGTAATCACAAATCTCCCCCAAAACAGGAATTCTACCAAACATTTAAAGAAGAGTTAATACCTATTCTTTTGAAGCTGTTCCAAAAAAAAAAAAGAAAAAGAAAAGAAAAAAGAAATGGAAGGAAAACTTCCAAACTCATTCTATGAGGCCAGCATTTCCTTGATTTCAAAACCAGACAAAGACCCCACTAAAAAGGAGAACTACAGACCAATTTCCCTGATGAACATGAATCTAAAAATTCTCCACAAGATACTAGCAACCTGAATGTAACAATACATTAAAAGAATTAATCAAGTGGGATTTGTTCCTGGGCTACAGGCCTGATCCAAAATCCACAAATCAATCAACATGTTACATCACATAAAAAAAAGAAAAGAACCACATAATCTCAACAGATGCAGAAAAAATTATCTGACAAAATACAGCATCCTTTCTTGATAAAAGTCCTCAAGAAAGCAGGGATAGAAGGAACATACCTGAAGATCATAAAGGCCATATACGAAAGACCCACAGCTAATAGCATCCTCAATGGGGAAAAACTGAGAGCTTTCCCCCTAAATTCAGGAACACGACAGGGATGTCCACTCTGACCACTGTTATTCAATACAGTATTGGAAGTCCTAACCTCAGGAATCAGACAAAAAGAAATAAAAGGCATCCAAATCGGTAAGAAGTCAAACTTTCACTTTTCGCAGACGACATGATACTCTCTAAATGGAAAACCTGAAAGACTCCACTAAAAAACTACTAGAACTGATATGTGAATTCAGCAAAGGTGCAGGATATAAAATCAACATACATAAATTGGTTGCGTTTCTATACACTAATAATGAAGCAGCAGAAAAGAGAAATCAAGGAATCGATCACATTTACAATTCTACTGAAAACAATAAGATACCTAGGAATAAATATAACCAAATAGATAAAAGATCTGCATGCTGAAAACTATAGAAAGCTTATGAAAGAAACTGAAGACACAAAGAAATAGAAAAACATTCCATGCTCATGGATTGGAAGAACAGTATTATTAAAATGTTGATACTACTCAAAGCCATCTATACATTCAATGCAATCCTTACCAAACACCACCATTCTTCACAAAGCTACATCAAACAATTCTAAAATTTGTATGAAACCAGAAAGACTGTGACTAGCAAAGTAATATTAAAAAAGAAAACCAAAGCTGGAGGCATCACAATCCCAGACTTCAGCTGTATTACAAAGCTGTGATCATCAAGACCATATAGTTCTGGCACAAAAACAGACACATATATCAATGGAAAAGAAGGGAGAGCCCAGAAATGGACACCCTAATGATATAATGATGGCCAACTAGTCTTTGACAAAGCAAAGAAAGAGTATCTAATGGAAAAAAAACTTGACAGTGACATACAAAAGACTGAACTTGGACCACTTTCTTACACCATATATAAAAATGAACTACTGGGACCTCATCAAGATAGAAAGCTTCTGTACAGTGAAGGAAACAATCAACAAAACTAAAAGACAACCAAATGAATGGGAGAAGATATCTGCAAATGACATATCAGAAAAAGGGTTAGTATCCAAAATCTATAAAAAACTTTCCAAACTCAACATCCTCCCCAAAATAATCCAGTTAAGAAATGGGCAGAAGACATGAATAGACACTTTTCCAAAGAAGACACCCTGCTGGCTAACAGACACATGAAAAGATGCTCAATATCTCTCATCATCAGGGAAATACAAATCAATATTGCAGTGAGGTACCACTTCATACCTGTCAGAATGGCTAAAATTAACAACTCAGGAAACAACAGATATTGGCAAGGATGTAGAGAAAAGGGAACACTTCTGTGCTGCTGGTGGGATGAAAATAGTATGGAGTTTCCTCAAAAAATTAAAAATAGAATTACCCTACAATCCAGTAATTGCACTACTATATACCCAAAGAATACAAAAATGCTGATTCAAAGGGGCACGTGGACCCCAATGTTTATAGCAGCGCTATCAACAATAGCCAAATTATGGAAAGAGCCCAAATGTCCACTGACTGAGGAATGGATAAAGAACATGTGGTGTATGTGTATGTATACTCATTTCTTCAACAAGGATTTACTGTGTACCTACCACGACTAGAGCAACTGAGGGACAAGGGAGGCCTTTTTAGCTGTGGTGGAAGAAGAGGGATTTTCTGGGGATGACGTCTGAGCAGAGACTCGAATGAAGTGAGGATATAAGTCATAGGAAAATCAAGAAGAGCATTTTAGACAGAAGGAATTTTTAAATTTTTTTTTTTTAATGTTTTATTTATTTCTAGGAGAGAGTGAGAGAGAGAGACAGCGTGAGCAGGGGAGGGTCAGAGAGAGAGGGAGTCACAGACTGAAATAGGCTCCAGGCTCTGAGCTGGCAGTCAGCACAGAGCCCGACGCGGGGCTCGAACCCACGAACCGCGAGATCATGACCTAAGCGAAAGTCGGACGCTTAACCGACTAAGCCACCCAGGTGCCCCTAGACAGAAGGAATTTTTAAAAAGCCAGCACAGAACAGAGGAAAGTGAGCAAGGCTGTGTGGCAGACAAGGGGCCAAGAACTGAGTTTTACTACCAGTGTGAATGGAAGCCACTTTGAGCAGTAAACAGTCATGGCCTGATATGCTTTTTAAAAGCCCACTCTGGTTGCCGTGTCTAGTAACAAAAGAAAGAAATTATGAAACCATCCAGTGCTACATAGAGTACTTACCATTAGGTCGAACCAGAAGTACGAGTTCCCCAGAATGTCTCTCACAGCTAGCTTTAATAAACAGGACGACTTGATCATGGGTATGTTCTGCAATGTCCCGACCATTGATCAGTACAACTTGGTCCCCTTCATTCAATCGAGGGACACAGAGGTCAGCCTATAATGTAACATAAAGTTTCAAGTGTTTACATGGCTTTCTGAAAGTAAAGCACAGGAATTTATTTTTATGGACACTACAGCAGGAGAGCAAAAGCTACATACAGAACGGCATCCATCCATTTATTCATCTATTTGCAAAAAGTAGAAATCTAGCGTCCCCATGAAACTACTACCTTTTTTCCTTTTCAACCACTTTTTCCCTGCTGTCCTACTAAATGCTTAGATACACAGAGAAGACTAATGATCTCAAGGTGCATAGATACAGGCAGCCCTCACATTGCACAGTCCTGTATGTATAAATTTCAGTCCCCACAGGTTAGTTAGGTGACAGTCTCCCAACAAGGTTCAGACTGCAGTTACCACAATGCATTAAATGTGAATAATTACATAACGTACAAACTTTGCTACTAGCTCATGAGTCCACAGATCATTACAAAAATAAGACACACATCACAATCAGTGACCCATCACATGTCACTTCTTTCAAAGTCTGTTGGTGACTTGCTGCTGTTCATCTGTCACTCAGTTTGCGGGGAGACAGCAAAGCAGGTACCTGTTTCACCTCCTTGCCTCCCAGTGGTAAACTCAAGTAAATCTAAAGCAGGAACTGGCCAGGAAAGCTAAAAATGCAGCAAAGAAACAAAAGAGTGATAGTGCTAGAAGTAAAATGCAAATCGAATATAAACCACTGACAGCGGAAATAGTGATGTGGCTACTGTCCAAGAGCCTCCAGACATGCAGCGAAAGGAATTTATTGAAGCCGACTTGTCAACGTAAATGAAAGTGGCTGTGATGAAGTGACTTTCCAGATGAAGATGTCCTAGAGGAAGTGAGGCTGGCAAAGCAGTTCTCACTAAAGGTCTATTTCATAACATTGAAAAAGCAAAGAATGAATGGTAGAAGTGAATACCAATTTAGAAAGGATTAGGACAATTTGCTAAGGAAAGAAAAAAGCTCACTCTTGTATGTTAAGTTACACAACAATAAGGGAAACAAATTCAATGTACTTGTGATGAGTTCCCATAAGGAAATGGAACGCTTTATTTCTCAGTGTTTCTGATAGTTCGAATTAGAGGATAATAAATCAGTATTAATTATTTTTTCATCTCCCTATAACTTTATAGGAACAACTAAGAGAAATTTCAATTATTTGATAAAAAATTGAAAGGTCATAGAAGCCACTGTAACTTTTCCCACTGATTACCAGGATCGCTTCACACAGAGTCAGCCATACAGAGTCGTTTTTACAGTCCTGCCCCACCGTGCAAAGTGACAGGTGCCTGCATCTCACTGGGAAAAGAAAGACACGATGCAGCTAAGAGCGGAAAGCAGATGTAGGGACAGCAAGCTCCAGGAACACAGCAATGAGAAAACACCGGAGTCAAGTCTGGAGGATGATCAGTCGGCTAGGGAAGGAAATGACAGGGTGGGACCTTACAGAAAAAGGATGCTAGAAGAAATGAAAGCACAACTAGTCAAATTCATAATAAACACAAAGTCAATAATAATCCAACAAGGTCCTGTCACTAATGGAAAGAGCATAAGTTCTTTCTTTGCTGCTTACAAAGCATGTGATTTCAAACACCCGAAACTCTGGAAATGGAGCAGGTATCTGCTCTAATTATTTCATAAATTTCTAAAGACAAAAATGTGATAATTCAATGCAAAGTATTAAAATTTAGAAAACGCAAGTTCAGAATAGTTGCTTCTTTCTCTACTTCTTGGTGGAGATGACATTCATATATTCCCTCTGCACACCAGCACTGTGATACTTTTGTGTACCAGTGTGGTCCCAAGTTTGTGTAAATGCCTGTACAGTACCTAAAGGGTGGTGAATGCTCTGTATCAATGGTACTGGGAGAAATGTAATGGGCTGGAGCAAAGTGGTACCCTCTTACCTTACTTTGTGGACAATACAGCTGGTAGGAAAGAGAAGGCAGTCTGTGTGCTAGGAAGAGAATAGCTACACATTTCTCCTACTGTACCTTGAGTACATCCACTGATATTTCCAGTTCACAGACTGAGGCTAATGGGGTAGTTAATCAATATGCTAGAACATGCAGAGATTAATTTTTTGAACCCATTATCACTTATCACTGACAGAAACTCTCTCATATTTAATCTGCCTTTCATCAGGTATATTTAATAAATTTCTATTTTCATTCTTTTTTGTGTGTGTGTGGAAGCTGCATTTTGTCTATTTGCATTCTGATCTGGAAAGTCTAGATAAACTATATGCTTATTTATTTTGGCGGGGCGTGGGGGGAGAGGCAGGGAGAGAGAATCCCTGCACTGTCAGTGCAAAGCCTGATGCAGGACTTGATCTCACAAACTGTGAGATCATGACCCGAGCAGCAATCAAGAGTCAGGACGCTTAACCAACAGAGACACCCAGGCTCCCTGATTATCTATATATTTAAATGAATTTTGTTGGAGCAACAACTGCTGGCTCAAAGATAATCAGACAGAAAGCAAAACAGCTTTAATCGGGAATTATCTTAACCATTTCAGAAGGTATCCAATATAAAGAATAACATTAAAGTATCTGAAGTCCTGTTCTTTTCCTCCAATCACCTAAAATCAGGTTTCCAACGGGAACACTGTGACGGTCTCTAGTAAGATAATGAAAAAATGATAAGTTTCTATTGTTCTAAATTCAGCCAATATATTTTTTAAGGTTTCCTGATGGAAACCTCATTCTTCCTTCCTTAACTCTTATTACGCTTTGCTGTGGTTGTTGTTGTTTTTTTATCCATCTACATTTCTTGTTTCTTATTCTCTGCCTTTTGGGAACTTTTGTGTCTTCTCTTATAAATATGGGTCTGTTTTCGAATAGCTCCTTTTTTATTTTAAAGGTAGGCTTTACACCAGATGTGGGGTTTGAACTCACGACCCCGAGATCAAGAGTCGTATGCTCTACTGACTGAGCAAGCCAGGTGCCCTTCAGCCAATATTTATGAGACACAGTTCTACATGGCTGACAGGGAAAATTATCAATAATCTGTATAGCCTAAAAAGAAAATTTAGAGTCACAGAATTCTGTTTGGAAATAAACCTGTCTATACAATGTTCCCTGAACATCTCTGACCTAATTGAAAATGATCTACATTCACTGCTCAAGAAAAATAGTATTTCTTTTGTGTCATTCAGTTACTATTACAACTGGTGTATAAACAGATACATTATCTTTCTAATTACAAAAGCAATACATTCTCATTATCATGATTCAGATTATTAAAAAGAAGAATATAAAACAAAGTGATAAATACCAATAATTCTACTACCCAGATGAAATGCTACTAGCATTTTGAGCATGTTTTCAAACTTTTTAAATTTTTAAAAAATGTTTGTTTATTTTTGAGAGACAGAGAGACAGAGTGTGAGCAGGGGAAGGGCAGAGAGAGAGGGAGACACAGAATCTAAAGCAGGCTCCAGGCTCTGAGCTGTCAGCACAGAGCCCGACACAGGGCTCCAACCCACAAACCGCAAGATCATGACCTGAGCTGAGTCAGACACTCAACAGGCTGATCCGTTTCCAAAATTTTTAAAGCACTAACTCATATTTTAAGAAACTGGATCAAACATGCATGTGGAGCAATAATATACATTTTCTATAACACTGTCTTATGAGCCCATTTCCATACTTACACAAAACTACATCATCTATCATCTCAACAGCTGTAAAGGAGCACAAAATTTATTTCACCAACTCCAATGACGTACGTTTTTATCACCACCCCAATCGTTATTACAAACAATATTACAATGAACTTCCTTGTGTATCCTTTGTTCTGTAGTCCAACTACTTCATTACCAGCAACTGCTAAAAGTGGAATCGTCATGCCAAAAGATATGTATTTGACCTATAAATGTTTTAGCTTAAATTTTTGTTTTCAGTCAAATTCACATCACACAGCTTGAAGAACTAAGTCTACAAGATTACTAAGACAAGCAACCATGTCTCGCGTTCCTCTGTACATCCTGCCCCCCTCCACACCAGGCAACTTCAACATTTTAGCTACATCTTTTGTATCTACTTCAGTATCTCTAAATAACATCCTCATTTTGTTTTTCTTCAGTTTTCTATTTTAGACATTACCTACAGATGAGAATTTAACAATCTTTCATCTCCTCATCTGCAGTCTGTCTTAAATACATACATATTTCCATATATATATATATATATGCATGCTAATAACTAATTTTGGACTATTTCCTCCATCTTTGTTCCCATCCTTCACATGCATAGTAGGTTCGAGAGGCATGTCATACATCATATCCCTGTCCTGTTCTCCCGACCCCAAGTGATTTGTTGAAAAAAAGACCTCTGATACAAGCTAGATCTATAAAGAACTTACTTTCCAGAAGTCTGTAAACTAGACTGAGAGGTTTAAGTGCTCTAGGTTACTAAACTGTTAATATATAAACCTAGAAGTTACCAGTAGCTCATCACATAAACTAAGAATGGCGGTAGTTCTATAAATTCTCTTTCGATGAGAGTCAGGGACACAGTCATATTTGAAAGTAGAGTATGTGGTGGGGATGTAACAGAACTAACTTGAAGCTGCTACTAAGTACACTGTCTTTATTAACACTGTATTTTTTTTAGAGGAGCTAGAGAGATGAGGCTGATTCCCTACACAAACTGGTTTGCAGCAGGAGAGAAGAATGGAACATAAAAAGAAATAGAGATGAAAAAATAGAGAGTGCTCACGTTTATTTTAAAGTTTTTTTTGTACTCCAGGTTGGACTGCATTCCTATCCTTGGGTTTTGTGAGGTACTATTATAGCTAATGGATACATTTTGTATTAATGCTTAAGCCAGGGGTATTCCATAGTACCCTGTTATTTGCAACCAACAAAATCCTTAACAATCAGAACCAAAAGTATGTATCGTGATATCCTTGATCAATCTTGACTGTGATTATCAAATCAATTTTAAGGTTGCTGCAAAGCACCAAAATAAAGCATAACTGGGCTCTTTCAGGCTGCTGGTTCCTATCTGTCTGTAGACACAGAGACAAGTAAATGATAAGGTGCTGACGGAAAACTCCTTGAAGACTATTTAGGTCAAGTAGGCAACAACAGAAATGGGAAATAGAAAGCAATATTTGCTACATAAAAGAGCAATAGAGAGAACACACCCACAACTAATTAAGAATTGTCCTTATGGGGGCGCCTGGGTGGCTCAGTCGGTTAAGCGTCTGACTTCGGCTCAGGTCATGATCTCAAGGTTCGTGGGTTCGAGCCCCACATCAGGCTCTGTGCTGACAGCTCAGAGCCTGAAGCCTGCTTCAGATTCTGTGTCTCCCTCTTTCTCTGACCCTCCCCTGCTCATGCTCTCTCCTCTCAGAAATAAATAAAACATTAAAAAAAATTAAAAGAAAAAAAAAGAATTGTCCTTATGATGAGCAGAAAGTTCATGAATCCTGAAGGTGAATTAAGGGAAGAGGAAGGTTCATCATAATGGGTACATACAGTGTTTTCTCTACTTTTGTTTAAAATGTTTGTAATAAGTTTAAAACTCTCCCTACAGTAAAAGAAAACACTAGTTACCATTTCTATTTAAAGTCAATTTTTTTTAGGGGCGCCTGGGTGGCTTAGTCGGTTAAGCGTCCGACTTTCGCTTAGGTCATGATCTCGCGGTTCGTGGGTTCGAGCCCCGCGTCGGGCTCTGTGCTGACTGCCAGCTCAGAGCCTGGAGCCTGTTTCAGTCTGTGTCTCCCTCTCTCTCTGACCCTCCCCTGCTCACGCTGTCTCTCTCTCTCTTCTAGAAATAAATAAAAAATATTTAAAAAACAAAAAAATAAAAATAAAGTCAATTTTTTTTAAACACAAAGTAGGCAAACAGATTGTAGGTAAACAATTCTAAATGAAAATACCAAACAAACAAAAAAGCAAAACAAATACTATACCTCTGTCTACATTTTTCTATGTTTAAAGGAGTTATTTTGATAGACTCTATTAGCACTTTAGAAACATCAAAATTATTAAACAGCTTCTTTCCAAAAACATGGATTTAAGAAAACTCATATACAGGAAATAAAAACTTCCCAGCAATTTAAGAGATTTAGTCAACATCTGATACTTAACAAATTTTCAGAAATTAATTTTTTCCATTTATTTAAACTAGTAAAAATAAAATGAGTACATATTCTTGAAAATAGGGTTTACTTGCAAGATTCAGATAACTCACAGGTGTTCCTGGTGCTACTCGGGACACGATCACAGGCATCTTCTGATCATACCCTCCCTTAACAACAGAGCAAATCAGGTATCAATTATTACCAAAATAGACACATCTTAATTTAAAAACTGAATACAATGTAAATTCTAGATTACCTTTACATTGAATCCAAACCTTCCATTTTCATCAGGTTTCATTCTGATTAGAACAAGATTATCTTGTGGAATACCACCATTAGGCTTAAGAAAACAAAAATAAATAACTTGTAATTTTCCTCATTTATAATCCCTCCTTCAAAGATATACATGAAGTATGCTTTTTGTACATTAATATTACCTACAATATATAAAAACTCATAACAAATTCAAATGTTAATTCAGGAAGGTAAATTTTTATTTTTATTTTCTTAATCTTTATTTTTCAGAGAGAGAGAGAGAGAGAGAGAGAGCAAGCGAGCAGGGGAGGGGCAGAGAGAGAGGGAGACACAGAATCCGAAGCAGGCTCCAGGTTCTGAGCTGTCAGCAGAGCCCGATGTGGGGTTTGAATTCATGAACCGTGAGCTCATGACCTGAGTTGAAGTTGGATGCTTAACCGACTGAGCCACCCAGGAGCCCCAGGAAAATAAATTTTGATTAATACCTTATCTAGTTACAGCTAGATACAGCCTAGACTAAGTGCAAGGAGTAACAGGGGCATCATTATTTAAGTTATTAGCTGCAATACCCCTAGAACCTGGCTCAAAGCTCTGCACACAGTAAGTGTTCATAACTGTTACAAGAATTCACATTCCTCCCTCTGCTTTTTAAAAACAGCTTTACTGGGATATAATTCACACACTACACTTCACACAAAGTGTTTAATTCAATAATTTTTACAACAGCCAAGAGTTGTAGAAACATCACTACCATTTAATTTTAAAATATTTTCACCCATGTGAAAAAGAGATCCTGTACCTATTAGCAGTCATTTCCCATCTCCTCACCCCCATTCCTTAAGTCCTATTCAACCATTAACCTATTTCCTGTCTCTTTACATTTGACTATTCTGGGCATTTCACATACATGGTCATTTGGCACTAGCTTCTTTCCCTGAATGTTTTATGTGTGCTCTTTCAGGGAAAGTATCTGGCTAATTCTTGCTCATCCTTCAAGACACAGGTCAGAGAAGCTTACTTTGTGAGGTCTTCTCTTAACCCTACAGCTCCATTAGTTATTTGTATATCCTTCCCTATAATCACTTCTGATTATATTACCTTCAAACTAGACCCAGGTCCTTTTCCAATCTCAAGGACACTCCTATAGTAAGTAATTCTCTACTCTCCTACATTATCCATTTTCCCCACCCTTCTGAGGAATACTCTTATTTCTCCCCTTAAAAGAAAATGAACTTTCTTGACTCCACTTCCCCATCTAGCTACTACCCCATTTGTCTCCTTCCTCTTGCTCTTAAGCATCTTTAAAGAGTTGGCCACATTTGCTGTCTCTATGTCCTCTGATCTCATCCTCTCAGTCACGTTTTTATCTCCAATGCTCCACCAAAATTGTTCTAATGAAGGTCACCATAGAGTTTCATATTGCTAAATCCAGTGTTCAACTGTCAATCCTTACCTTACTTGACTTACCAGTACCAGCTGACAAAATTGGCTATTCTCTCTGTGACTTTCTGTGCCATTAGCCAGTCAACCAGTGGACTAGTTTTCTTCCTACCTTGCTGTCTGAATCTTCTCAGTCTCCTTTGCTGGTTTCTTCATCTCCCTAATGCTTACATTTTGGATGGCCAAAGGCCTCCTAGACCCTCTCATTTAGTTATCGGCACACACTATACTTCCTTGGGTGTTTTTTTTCCCTCTCTCATGATTTTACGTACTGCCTACCTGCCATCAACCCCCAGTGTTATAACCCTCGCTTGGACCTTTCTCTTTAAGTCCAGAATCGCAGCTGTTGATGGATTTCTAGTAGCAATCTCACACTTGTTATGTCCCAAACTGTGCTCCTAATATGTCACCTATACCTGCTCTACCTGGAGCCTTTCCTGTGTCAGTAAACAGAGACTTCGTGTTTTAGCTGTTCAGGCCCCAAACCTTGCTGTTATCTATGATTCCTCTTTCTCCACATCCCATCCCGTGTGTTAGCTCTGTTCCAAACCATCCAGACTATAGAACACAGCCATGTCTTCCTCCTTCCACTGCTGCCATACGGATCCGAATCCCACCACTTGCCGGGAATACTGCACTCCTCCACAACCAGTATCCCTGCTGCTACCCTTTCAGGCTATTTTCAATACAATAGTCAGATCGACACTGTTACAACTTAAGTGACATCATGCTGCTTTTCTCCTCATATATGTCCCTTTTGCTTTGCATCTCACTCAGGGTTAAAAAACACAATCTTTAAAGACTTTGGCCTTTTCCTGTACCCGTCTCCTCCTCATTGGCTCATTTTGTGCCAGCCACACTGATTCCTTTGATGTTCCTTGACAGGATCAGTCATACTCTGGTCTCTGTACCTCCTGCTCTTCTACTGGCTATCTCTTTGACTCATCGCTAACTTCATCCCTGGCTTACACCATTTAAAACTGTGGTCCTCTCATCTTGAAATTCTCTACGCCCTTCCTGTTTTATTATTCTCTCTAAAATGTATACTATCTAATATGCTATGTATTTAAATTATTTACCGTGTTTACTGTTTGTCTTGCCCTTATCCCTAGAATGTAAGTTCCTTGAAGGTAGAGTTTTTTTTCACCCTCTATTTTATTCCAATATATCCCCAAAGTCTATAACAATGAATGGTACTTAATATTAATTTTTGTGTGAATGAAAAAATTAGATTGTAGATTATTTAATAGCAGGGACCACATCTTATTTGTCTTTATGTTCACACACTACCCACCAGAGAACCCAAAACACAGAAAGACCTCAATGACTATAGATTGATGAAGGAATGTATAAGGGAATGATACAGGAGAATCACCACACAGGTATCCCCAAATTTATCACTCAGTTTTGGTAAGGATTTGGATGGTTCTCTGATAAGCCTGTGGTGGTGGAGCAGTAATTGTGGGAGAACAGAGTGGCTGGACTGTGCTCTTCAAATTTAGATATGAGAGGGCTGTAAGAGTCGCGCCAACCAGAAACTTCTGGCACCACCAATACCCACTGTGGGTCCACCTCTCCCTCTATCTTATTTCCTGATGTCCCTTTAAGTTTCCTGAAATATACCCATATTTGTCTGTCCTCATACTTCTTCATGAACACAGTGTATCCCTAAAATTTATGGACAATCTCACCTTTGGTTTATTTACATCTACTTGAGAAAGCCATGAAAATTCATAAATCAGGAGATACTAAAAACGTGCCATTTTGTTGTGGTAAAAGTATGTTCTCTACAGGGAGAGTACCAAGTGATTCATAAATATATTGTATAGAACAGAGAGCGATCATAAATCCAGGGGACCTGTACTCAGTTTCAGAAGGTTGATGAAATTGATCAAGTCCCTGCATCTGGTGAATTACATAATAAGGTTAGTGATATTTGGTGGATTATTAACCTTTGTTCTAAAAATGAGTGTTTTGTAAGACTGAATCAACATAAATTTGTCAGGAATTAACTTCTAGAGCCATGAACATTTAAAAAATGATGATAAATGGAAATTCCACAATTGTGTTACATTGTGGCAAAATTCATGAGCAACCTATGATGAAAAAGAGAAAGTACAATAATATAATTTACAGACAAAACATACCACAGTATAAAAGAAATTTTATTACAGATTAAAACATTTCAAAGGGGGGGCGCCTGGGTGGCTCAGTTGGTTGGGCATTCAACTCTTGATTTCTGCTTGGGTCATGACCCCAGGGTAGTGGGATCAAGCCCTGTGTTGGGCTCCCCACTGAGTGTGGAGCCTGCTTACGATTCTCTCTCTCCTCCTCTCCCCCACACTCTCTCTCTAAAAGATAAGATAAAACAGAATAGAATAGAATAAAAAAGATGTAAGAATAGAAGCTACTTACAGTAGATTTCTCAGGGGAAGATGGAACATCAAAAGCTTCATTCATATGGTTTTCCAGATCTTGTTGAGAATGTGAATAATGAATTTGGTTCCAACTATTTTTCTTTGATTGTTTGGGTGGTAAAGCTGGAGGCTGCCCATCTCCAGGGGTCTCCTGTGATCTAGGTAAGAAAAAAGCGAAACATGAGTATTTTGGAAGTTGTCTTCTAGAATAGTTATTTTAAGCTTATTTATTTTGAGAGAGAGAGAATGTGCTAATGCAGGGGAGGGACAGAGAGAGAGGGAGAGAGAGAAAATCCCAAGCAGGCTCGATGCTGTCAGTGCAGAGTCTGCCATGTGGCTTGACTCTACCAAGTATGATATCGTGACCTGAGCCAAAATCAAGAGTCAGATGCTTAACCAGATGAGCCACCCAGGCGCCCTAGAATTGTTATTTTAAAAGCTAGGGTAAAAAAAAAACATCCCATCACATAACAGCTAGAGTCAAGCAACTCAGATATCACAACATTTAGTAGGAGATAAGCTTTAAACATTGTATTTATAGGGGCACCTGGGTAGCTCAGACAATGCAGAGCCTGCCTGGGATTCTCTGTCTCCACCCCCTACCCCGGGTTCTTCCCCTGCTTGTGCTCTTTCTCTTCAAAATAAATAAACTTCAAAAAAAAAAAATACTGTATTTATTTACAAGTGAAATCTTAACTTTGAAGTTTAAGTGGTACATTGACTCCATACTTTGTCAAATCTGTAAACAATTCTACATAATAAATACACTTTAAGTATATCATGATAAAGATGCTTACTAATCCACTACAACAATATACACATCTTTCCAAAACACTTAAAAAATTTTTTTTAATGTTTTATTTATTTCTGAGAGAGAGACACAGAGAGACAGAGAGACAGTGTGAGCTGGGGAGGGTAAGAGAGAGAGGGAGACACAGAATCCGAAGCAGGCTCCAGGCTCTGAGCTGGCTGTCAGCACAGAGACCGACGCAGGGCTCGAACCATGAACCATGAGATCGTGACCTGAGCCGAAGTCAGAAGCTCAACTGACAGAGCCCCCCAGGCACCCCTCCAAAACACTTTAAACTAAGGTTTTCAATGGAGTCACAGAGGTAGCCAGGGTAAAGGGGAGGCAGGGAGGAATCAGAATTGAGAGCTGAGTTGTTCCACAGGTAAAACACCTAGTATAACCTAAAGAACTTGTGATTGGCCCAATTTATTTAGATTTTTTTAAAATGTTTATTTGTGAGAGAGAGAGAGAGACAGAATGAGAGCAGGGTAGGGGCAGAGAAAAAAGAAGACATAGAATCTGAGACAGGCTCCAGGCTCTGAGCTGTCAGCACAGAGCCTGACATGGGGCTTGAACTCACGAAGTGTGAAATCATGACCTGAGCTAAAGTCAGATGCTTAACTGACTGAGCCACCAGGCATCTCTGGCCCAATTTATTTAGAAATAAGAGGGAGGCAAACTATGAGAGACTCTTGAATGCTGAGAACAAACTGAGGGCTGAGGCGGGGGTAGGGGAGAGGGGAACGGAGGGTGATGGGCATGGAGGAGGGCACTTGTTGGGACGAGCACTGGGTGTTATATGTAAACCAACTTGACAACAAACTATTAAAAAAAAAAGCAATAAGACACAATTCATGAAATTAATGAACTCAATACTACATCAAAAATTGGAATCTGAGTAAGAGTGCTGAGCTCAATGAGGAAACAAAACTGGACAAAACGCTGTTGGAGTATATAATTTAAAGAAACAAAAATCCAATTAACATTAGGCAGCATAAGCTTCAATTTGTGGCAGCAAGAACTGATAAAAGAGCTTTAGAAGAAGCTTCAAGGTAAAAACGGTAACTTTTTTTTTTAATGTTTATTTCTGAGAGAGAGAGAGAGAGAGAGAAAGAGAGAAAGTGTGCATGGAGGAGAGGCAGAGAGGAGGGATACAGAGGATCTGAAGCAGGCTCTGCGCTGACAGTACAGAGCCCGATGTGGGGCTCAAACTCACCAACTGTGAGATCATGACCTGAACTGAAGTCAGACACTTAAACGACTGAGCCACCCAGGTGCCCCTAAAAATGGTGCTTTTAAGAAAGAGTGCAGTATATGTAATAACACTACTTGTGAGTTTTCACAAAGGCCAGAACGGGGAACCAGCAGACATCCATGGAAGCTGTGGAAGCTAGAACAGGTAAGGGGAAATGGTTCTTTGTAAGAGCCCTGACTATTCCTGAGGTTTTTATCTCTGCGATGCCAGGTCTTGGGGAACACAAAAAAATTATGGACTGTCCCACTGCCTAAGGCCCGGTAAGAGAGTTGATAGCTGCTGTGTCAAGTTCAATGGTTGCTGTGGTGCAATTCAGGCACAGATTTCACCCCATTTCTGCTTTTTGTGTTGAGTGGCAACAGATGCCCAAGATACAAGCCATGAGACCTTGAGGAAGTGGAACTGCATTAGACTGTATTATTGCTCAAAAGTTATTCTCCATCCCTCCCTGAGTGACATCAGGCTTGGCTATAGGACTTGTTCTGGCCAATGAAACGTGAGTAGAAGTAGTCACTTCTGAAGGAATACTTTAAAAAACAGCTCATGGGGTGCTTGGGGGGCTCAGTCAGTTGAATTTCTGACTTTGAGTCAGGTCATGATCTCACAATTCATGGGTGTGAGGCCTGTGTCAGGCTCTGTGCTGACAGCTCAGAGCCTAGAGCCTGCTTGGGGTTCTGTGTCTCCCTCTTTCTGCTCCTCCCTGGCTTGTGCTCTGTCTGTCTCTCTCCTCCCCCGCTCAAGTTTTGTTTCTCTCTCTCAAAAATAAACAAACACTAAAAACAAAACAAAACAGCTCATGATTCATTATGCTAACTAGCCATTCCCCAAATAGTAGTCTGGGTCCTGGAATGAACATGACACGGAGTAGAACCATAACTGATCCATGATATACATATGATGTAAGAAAGAGAGAATCTTTGTGTTGTCACTAGAAATTGGGATAATTTTCTACCCACATAATTTAGCCCAAGATAACGGACACAGAGATTACTGTCAGAGTGGCTCTCTGACAGATGTTCTCTCCTTTGGTACAGAAGGTGTGAAGCTTACTTAGAAGCTCACTGCTAAATACCTGGTAGATACAGGTAATGAAGCTAAAAATTTGATTAATGCCAATGAAGTCAGCAAGTATTAAAAATGAATGCTCTAACTGTATGGTCCTCCAGGGAAGTTTCTCTTAAGAGAGAATATAGTTAGTCTTGGGGCACCTAGGTGGCTCAGTCACTTAAGCATCCGACTTCAGTTCAGGTTTGTGGGTTTCAGCCCTGCATTGGGCTCTGTTCTGAGAGCTCAGAGCCTGGAGCCTGGATTCTCAGGCCAGTTTAAAAAAAAACATTTCTAGACAAAAACAATAAAAAAAAACTCAAAAAGCCCACAACTGCTAATTATAACAAACTGAAGAGACATCATATACTTTGGAAGAACCAGCAGACAGCATAATGGAACACAGCCCCATTAGAGATAATTCCCCTGAGGGGCGCCTGGGGGCTTAGTCAGTTAAGCATCTGACTCTTGATTTCAGCTCAGGTCATCATCTCATGGTTTGTGGGTTTAGGCCTCACATCAGGCTCTGCACTGACAGCGCAGAGCCTGCTTGAGACTCTCTCTTTCCCCCTCTCTCTGCCCCTACCCCGCTTATGTTCTCTCAAAATAAATAAACATGGAAGGAAGGAAGGAAGGAAGGAAGGGAGGGAGGGAGGGAGGGAGGGAGGGAGGTAGGAAGGAAGGAAGGAAGGAAGGAAGGTAGGAAGGAAGGAAGGAAGGAAGGAAGGAAGGAAAAGAAAAGAAAGAAAGAATTCCCCTGAGAGAAGAACTGTGACTCACAGAGAAAGCCAGCATTTACTATCAGGTAGTTCATATAGGACTTGGGAAACAGGAACCATTAAAAAAAAAGTGGGCATCAGAGCTATGGCTGGTGTCTTACAAATAGTGGTAATACTTTGGCTTCATTTAGAGATGTGAGGTAGAAAAAATCTGCTATAAGGAGAGTATAGAAAGAAGTGTAACCTTAAAGGGATTACTTTAGTTACTTTTAATAAAGAAAAATGGGCAAGATAAACTGAAACTCTTTATGGTTTATAGAAGCATAAAATTTATTCTAAGTTAAGACTAGAAAACAAGCAAAAACCATATTCTTGGTAGATGCTAGTACAAACTTGACAGAGCTGATCGATTCTTTTAAGATTAATTTTCTAAGATGCATACCAGGAGCTCATGTCTCTTTCAACTACAGTCCCTAGTGCTGTCCAAGTTTTTACTGCGCAGTAACTATACTATCTTATACTTATCCTCTACGATGTTAAGATGCAGATAAAATTCGGATTCAACATTCAAGCTTCCAGACATGTTGGCTAATTTATAGTAACATTCACAGCACTTCAAAGTAAACATCACTGCAGACTGATTACTAATTACTGCTCAAGGCAGTTTAAAAAGTGCATATAGGGGCTCCTGGGTGGCTCAGTTGGTTAAGCATCAGACTTCAGCTCAGGTCATGATCTCACAGCTCTTGGTTTCGAGTCCCGCATCGGGCTCTGTGCTAACAGCTAGCTCAGAGCCTGGAGCCTGTTTCAGATTCTGTGTCTCCCTCTCTCTCTGACCCACCCCTGCTCATGCTGTCTCTATCTCTCTCTCAAAAATAAATAAAACATTAAAAAAATTAAAAGAAAGTGCATATAAATTCTGAGGATATGATATTTAGAATAATAGAATTGAAAATCTCATATTGCTATGTCAGTCTGAATCCATTTCAGAATCAAGGTCCCAGACCTGAAAGGCCTGGTTTCACCCAAGCTCCAAGTCTCTGATCTTAGCTCCCACAAGTGAGTAATACAGACATCTGTCAGGTGTGGGTGGCAGGTGAGTGCCCTGTGGCTACAGCAACCCAGCGCCCAACGTGACCGGTCTTGCTGCCACAAGTGCAGCATCAAATACGGTGCATCCTCTGATTCCCCCTACCGTGATGATCTCCTCCCATCACAGCTCCTTTGGTTCTTTATTTCCTTGTCCTAGAGTGGTCTGGTATTTGCATGATCCTTCCGGTATTTACAGATGATCCTCGAACAACAGTTTGATCTACGCAGATCCACATACATGGGGATTTTTTTTTATGG